TTTACACTCTTTAAGATTTATCTTAAGAACCTAAGAGTTGTCTTTCCTTCTAAGCGAGAAAACTATCTCTTGTCCCACATTGAACGATTAAGTCCTATACGAGGACTTAATAAGATTCGAGGAATAGGTGCAATAAGATAGAAGTCAAAAGGACTTGACTATCAGTATTGTGTGGGCAATGGTCCAAGAACTATTACCTTGCTACAAATTAAGAATCATTACCTGTCATACTCCAATGCCTGGTAGGATTCTTAACAAGATGTCTACTAGTAGATAGAAGACTTGTTATTAAAACAACTAGTAGAGAAAGTAATTTCCTCCTTTAAGGCTTCCCTTCTAGGATGTCAAGCATTATTCACATTTAATAATACTAAGATCTATCAAAAGTATGTATCTAATATACTTTAGGTTGTAAATATAAATCTTATACCAGGTAGAACTTAAAAAAAATTAAAAAATTACACCAATATGAGATAGATACTTTATAAAGAAAGAAGAACCAAATATAATATACTAGTATCAATAGTTTATGATATTATTTGATGGCCAGTTAAAGTGTTTGAAAATCATATTGTAAGAGGGGAGGCTTTGATTAGAAGGAAGATGATTCCTTACTCAAAACTTAATTGTTGGGAATAAGCCTAGTAAGAAGAAATTAAATCCTGTATAACTAGTATGCCAGTAATGCAAATTATTGTACTTGAGTACTACCCTCATGACAACCTGAATTTTAGGCACAGAAGTAGCAAATCCAGAAAGGTATAGAAGTTGTAGGATATTAGATTATTTTCTACCCTGCATCTTACTATAAGCTTAACTTTATTGAATAATTCTGGGACCATGCTAAGATGTATATAAGAGCACATTATAAGTACACATTTTCTTCTTTGGTTAAAACTGTATCAGAAGTACTGACTCAGGTTTCAGATGAATTGATCTGGAAATATTACTAATGGATACTATAGATAATGGATGCATATAGAAATAAAATAGTATATAGTTTAAAGGACTTTAAGCAACATATCTATATATGATACTCATCATATAGATGTTTTGCAAAATCTGACCTACATGTACTGTAGTAATTTAATACAGGTTATTACATTTCTGCTTGCTAGTTTACAGTTACTTTTTAGAACTACTAACACTATTTAAAAGTATTGCCCATCTTACTTACTTATTATGCCATGACAAGTTTTATTATCAATTCAATTCAGCTTAAAATGGTCTTCTGAAGCATATCCAAATTTCTGCATACCAGAGTATACAAATTAAACACTTGAAAGGTTAGGGGGCCTTCAGGCTTAATAGGTAGAGTAAAGGTTAAATAAAGTGTTATCCCTTAACCTGTATTCAGACACTGGCGCTAAAATGAGGCTTGACAAGATAGATTATGAATTTAACTAAAAAGAGTAAAGTGTTAGTGATTATAATGATTATGATGTAATAAGGGTATGTGGCCACAACGTGCAAAAAAAAAGAGCATTCAATATTGTTCCAAAGTTTAACCATCAAACAACTTGCTTTATAAACAATAATGAACAATCCAAATGCCAAAGTCTGTGACAGTGAAGAGGAGGAAATAGAGTTCTATGGCAGTGGGCGAGGGCTGGGAGAGATATTTGGGGAAGAGATTATTAACAATGGCAGACCAGTCAACCATGAAGCAATTAAGCAGATGGCAGAAGATATGAATGGTGAAGTTCAAGAAAATGATGAGGAAGAGCTGGAGAGTGAAGATAAAGACCTTGGTGAAGATGAGCAAGAACAGCAGCCTCCACAAAATCTATCTGCCGTACCCGCATTTGTACATTATCAATATCCATGACCACCACATAAGAGAATTCTCAATCTTCCGATTGAGTTTTTTGGTCGATATGATTCAGTCCGGAATCCAGAACCCCATAATACCCATTGATCTTTGGATTTCTTCCAGCTATTCTTTGACCAGGAGTAGTTTGAAGAACTCGTGAGAAATACCAATGCTTATACAATGGTAAAAGATGCGGGAAGAGAGAACTCTCGCAGATGGTATCTGGTTGAAGTGGGCAAGGTTATGATTTTCCTAGCCTTGATCATTTATATGCATCTGTATCTGATTAGTATAGTACCTGACTACTAGCAGAAGGATGGGCTTGCTCTACTTTATAGGTAAACCAATTTAGTTTTAATATTATATATATAAAACTTAAAGTTTAATTAATTCAATTTTAGGATATCACAGTACATGACCCAAGTGTGCTTTGAGCAACTGAAGTGATATTTTCATGTCTCAATTCCAGTTGAAAACATGCCCCATCGTTTGTGGTATCAAAAGTTAGAGCCACTTTCAACCAATCTTCAACGCTGCTACCAACGATATTGTACTCCTGCTAGGCAAGTTTCAGTTGATGAGGTGATGATTCGGTTTGTTGGTAGATCAGTTCATACTGTAAGACTTCCCAACAAACCTATACCGGAGGAGTATAAAGTTTTTGCCCTATGTGAGCATGGGTATACATTTTTGTTTATATATATATCTCGAGTCAATCAATTCTCAGGACATGACCTACCATATCTGGGACCTGTCAATCTACAATTAAGTCTCACCTTCCACACAGTTTTCCACCTGGCCACAGCCTTGTCATATTAGCAGTATCAATTTGTACTCTATTGTAACTACTACTTCAGTAATATTCCACTGTTTTAAGCTCTCCGATTCTACCAAATTGCCGCCTGTGGCACAGTCCGACCTAATTCAGCAGAGTATCCTGCAGTGTTGAAAATTGATAAACGATGAGCTCTGCTACCATAGGGTACTATTTCTGGAGTTGTACCTAATGACTGTGAGGTACTAGCTATAATTTGGTAGAATAGAACTTTGGTGTGCCTTCTTACAACAGCATATGATATGAGACCACTGCCACAGAATTATATGACCCGTCTCCGCTGCCAACCACAACATCCTAATAACCGAAATACATATTGGAGTATGATTGATGAGATTTGGGGAGAGTTGCATGTCTGGGAACTTGTATTACCAACTGCTATGGTAGACTACAACATGCATATGGGAGGTATAGATATAGCAGACCAACATCGCAGTTACTATTCTACATAATTACGAGTTGTTAGAAATTGGATGCCTATTTTCTTTTGGCTCCTTGATATAACTCTTATTAATATATTTGTGATTGCTCAGCAGCACATGGGGGGAACACGGCATTCACTTTGGTAAAGGCATTTAAGATTTAGAGAAAGACTTGCCTGGGATCTAGTAGAGGAGGGCTATTGGCAACTACATTCAGGATGAGTACCAGAGTTCCAGTCCGATGACTTTCAACCTTTGGTTCGAAGTGGAAATAATCATACCAGCCGAGCCATGGGTTATATTATCAAAGTTACCGCCCTGCCTCCAATGCGAAAAGATCCTACTACCTACAAACTTATCCAAAATCAGTTTCAACGAAGACCAAAATTCTGTGTCCTATTTTGCTTCCTTTCCAAACTTTGTCCTGAATTCCCATACTATAAGGACTTTCACTATGCTCCTAATGGCCCAAAAGGTAAAATATGCCATTCTTGCTTTATTTGTAATTATTGTACAATTGCTACCTTTAATGTTCCACTTTGCAAAAACTATTGTTTTAATATGTTTCATTCTCTTGACTAGTCTGAAATTCTTGCCTCTTTTATTTTTCCCCTTGTATTGGTTGCACTTATAGGGGGTTTGATCGTTGCTTCTCTTGTTTTAATGCTTGCAGGAGTCACTACTTGATTTGTATAGGAGATTGATGATCCCTATGTTAGTGCGACACTAAAAGTGTCTGAACGAGAATACAGGATAAGGGATGGCCGCGATTGCGTGAAAGTCGTCCCATTTTTGGTGTGAAGGTTGGTATAGAGGCTAGCCTTCCGGAACCGTACCAATTAATTCCCTAGACCCACACTTATAAAAACACAAGAAGTTTCCATGATGGACTCACCCAGCTAGGGCCAAAAGCAAAAAAAGAGGTTCAAGTTCGTAATTATCATATCTTCATCTCGATGCATACATCTTGATATGACTCACTCACTCACTCACTCGCTCTATAATGCCCCTTTCCACAATTGCTCGGGGGGCGCGTGATCGACGCTAGTTCGGATCCAAGCGCGATGTATGGAAATTCGGCACTGTCAAGACTGCGGAGGATAGTCTATAGAATCCTTATTATAATTCCAAAGAACCCCACCCTTTGGCTTTTTCTTTTCTTTTCTTCTCCTGCAATATCTCGATATCCCGCTTATCAATATACTTTCGGTTTTTTCTACGGGAGTACGGTAACTCAATCTAATGCCCTTCCCTCCCCTCCCCTTCCCTTCCCTTCCTTGGGGGCATACCCGAGCAGTACCCGAATACAGTGCATAGTCTACTAGACCTCAGTGCCGCACAGTTCGGCAGTCCCCTTCCAGCGGTCCGGAAAAACAAAACCCCCCCACCAAACCCACCATTGACTAGCACAATAGCACCACCACAACCTCCACACAAGCCAAGCCTATCGTGGTTGCCATAGTTTACGGTTCCATCATACTAGGGCGCTGCAACCTTGGCACGAGTACATAAACGTCTAGTTCGTACTGTAGCCATAACATTACTAACAAACTCAACACTAAATTCCCCTCCCCCCATCTCCACGGATGGATCCTCCTTCATTCATTCCTTCCTTCTTCCCGCCACCCCAGCAATTAGTCACAGCGGCGAACGGAGCAATAACGAGCGACCAAGGAACCCCCACCCCCCGACTCCCCCGACCAGGTCCTTTTTCCCAATCTTGGACAAAGCAGTCTCACTCCCCGCCCGGAAGAAGACTACTCGAGGAGAGGGAAGGATCAACCGGAAACCACCAGGAAGGTGCTAATACGAGCACTTAGTACTCCTCCTGCAGATCCAGGCGACGCTTACGATAAGTTATCGCATCATACTCCCGGGTACATACCCGGCAGCCCACGCGGCAGTACCTTCCGCGCCCATGATACCTGTCCCGGGCCGCAGGTACAGGACCTGGAAACAGGGGGGGGTATAATACAAGGATATTTTGTTTTGTACGGTGACTCAGATATTACCGGTACTCGTATTGGCCTTTCTTCGATCCCTGTTTTCAGGTACGCTATGGCCTAGGACTAGTGCTGTGCTCGGGTATGATATGTTCGCCATCCCAGTACGGGTTTCACAGAACCTAAGACTCGAGTGATATTCCGTGCATTTCATCCACGGTACTGGACCCTCTGGAAATTTTCAGAAGGCAGCCTTGTTCGGCACCTGCCGGTTTGGAAAATATTCGGCTATTTCGCTCCTGGAAGTGGAAATTTGTCCCGAGACGCGGTTGTTCGGCGGTTGCCTGTAATCTCTCTCCCTTTGGAATCTTCCATTCCCGCTTCTGCCAATAATTTCTATCCTTGTGCGGTTGGCGGCTGAGGGAATTTAACTCTCTGTATGGGATTGATTGACCGGAAAAGCTTGTCTAATTCGTTATCATGATAATAGAACTGTGGTATTTGTGGCGCGCCAAACACACCACTGTTCAAATATATAATTATCTTTTATTATTATTGTCGTCACAGCTATAACTATTAGCAGCATGGAAAAAAAAAAAACAAAGAAAGAAAGAAAAGAATGCAGTAGAGGAATTCCCGCGGTATTTCTGACGTGTTCACGAGAACATAAGCCTCTACCTGTAACGTATACCATGATATAGCGTAAATAATTGCATGCATGCGTTGGTGATGATGATAACAATAATAAACAATCCCGACTTTTCACTAAACCCAAAACCCCCCCCATTTAAGTTAAGCTATGCCGTCATGCATATGATATTCTGGAAATAGGACCAACCCGAGCGCCAAATACCGTGAGTGGGAGAAGCGATGCAGATCACAAGGAATGGAAATAATCAAAACGTGAACGATACTGTAAGGGTGGAGGGAAGGAAGGAAGTGAAAATGATAGACAGCTAGACAGGCTGCTTCTCCAAAGCCAACTCCTTGAAGGACGGAGCCCTCGATGCCGCTCTGGAAGCCTCGCGAACTTTTTCCTCCTCAAGTTGGTTCCTCTTCCGCTCTAGTAGGAATTGACAAAACTTTGATCGAGCGCGGATTTTCTCCCCTGTTCGAGCAGCAATCAGCCCACTATACCCACTATAAGTTAGATAGACAAGGGGGAGGAGAAAATTAACCATATCGAATAAACAAAATCGGGATAAATGACATCCCCAATCCCGCGAACGCCAAAAGGCTCGATGCCCATGGGATCGTCAACCGGTCATACATAATCCTGGAGAACAGTGGGAACGCCGCACCGAGGAGTGACCGACACATACTCGCTGCGGCCATAGCGCTCGCAGCATAGATCTCATAGGCGTCGGTGAGGTAATTCATACACGCCAGGAAAACGGTGCAGAAGCCGAACCCGAAAGGGATGCCCGAGAGGGCAGGGACAATATAGTGAACACCTGGACGCGCGGTCCACGCTTGCCAGAAGAGGCCCAGGGAGTACGCCAGGCCACCGAGGACGCCAATGGGAAGCCGGTGGAATTCGGGGGATAAGAGCACGCTGGGGTTTTGCTTTTGTTTCCGGTGACAGTAAGAGTCCCAGCATATACCCGCCGCGCAGGCGAGGACGGCTCCCACCGCTAGGGGAAGGAAGAAGAGGCCAGCAGTACCAGGCGAGAAGCCATAGATGTCTTGGTAGATCATTGGGAAGGATTGGAAGGAGAGGTAGAATGTGCCGTAGAGGAGGCTTAGGAATATACTGGTGAAGAAGACGATGCTCTCTTGCCAGAACATGCGGAAGGGCCTTGTTAGGGTGGTGGCAAAGATACTTTTTAGGCTGCGCCCGTCGAGTTCGAGTTGCGCCACTGCGTGTATATCGCCCTCTGCGCGAATCTTCCGGGCACGGCGGAGGAGGATAATAGGAGCATAGGTTTCTGGGCAGAATAATATTAGAGGGATGAAGGATATTGCAGCTGTTATGACGCCGACCCAAAATACCATCCTCCAACCTAGTTCCGTCCCTGAAATGTAGCCACTGATGAACGGCGCGAGAGTTGGCCCTATCATTGTGCAGGCACAAAATACAGCCACCACTATGTTTTCCCCGAGTCAGTATCCTGCAGATGATAATATGGAAGAAAACGGTGATGTACGTCTCCCCCGCTTAACGGGGTCATCCCAAAGATCCGCCAATTGGGCAACAGCGACGCTTAAGGGAGCACTCGCCCCAATACCCGTCAGAAACCGAAATGCCAGTAGCGCACCAATATTCGGCGCAAGGGCGCAACCAATACTCATGGCAGTGTACCAAGAGAACGCAATAATGGACACCCACCGCCGGCCATAGAATTCACTGACTGGGGCGAAGAATATGGGACCAACAACATAGCCAATCAGAAAAATCGAAATGGTCAAAGAAGTGATTTCCGGGCTGGTAATATCTAAATCCTTCCTTATGTACGACGCAGCACCGGAAGGGAGCGATGATGCAAATGTTGAGTTTGAAACTGTTATTATACCAACTATAGAGGCAATCCATTTCTTACCCTAGTATCGTTAGTCGCACATATCAGTAGAGCAAAGGGATTTCAAGAAAACACATGCACTTGACCAATTGTGAGGATTTTCAGGATCACCTGGCTCCCAATAAATAACATGTTTATCCTGTTCAACAATCCCTCCTATTTGCATGGCCTCCACGGGCAGAGGTTCCGAGTAATCGGTTGCCCAAGCTTCCTCACCATGGAATGTTCGTGTGGAAATAGTTCTTTCGAGACCCGGGTCTGCCATCTTTTTGATCAACGGATGCTTTGCAGGTCAAAGGCATGAGACAGGAGCGGATGGCTAATCGATTTATGTATGGAAGAGCTCCCGGGTAAGCGGCACATAGGGCAGGCTCCTCTCACTAGCTTCCCTTATTTCCACCGAAGGTCTATTTTTTTTTTTTGCCCCCCCCCCTTTGATGCCGCCGAACCCACCTTCCTAGCGTCAATTGTGAAAGCCTAGAGCAAACAGGCTACAGCGGAGATATGACCATGTTTTTTTGAACCTATCATATCCCTGAGATCCTCTGCTGGGTTATCCAGAGACAAGTCTATCATAATACTGTATGTTGCCAAAATGTCACTTGGCGATCCCCGTTTTTTTTGATAGAGGGAAAGGGAGAGTCGAAGCGGGGAGTAATATGATACCAGCAGTTATTTCCAACTTCAGCACCATCTTTCTCTATCAGGCGCCAGTGCCGAAGCACGGCAGTTTTAAACTTTTCTGTAAGAACCCCGGGATAGAATACTTGTAATGTCTCGGTGTTTTTAAAAAGGACTGCTATTGCATATCACCAAAAATTGGCCCTTTTGGGTGGATATGGGTGGAACGCAGAGCAGCTCTTCTCAAAAGCGCTCCGACAATACGAGTACCCGAGTATTTTCCCACGTTGGAATTTAGACTCATCTAAATCGAGTGGTCGGACTCGGATGATAACCCGTTTGTTAAGTCATCCGGGAGTCATCCCAAAGTCTATTCGGACTTAGCACAGGCAGTTAAACCGAAGCATTCCTCCAACGCTAACCAAAAGAAAGTTGATTAAAGTTTTTCGAGGAACATGCCAAGGATCCAGAGCAAAACTCGTGAATTAGGAAGTTGGAATTGAAGATGGAGGGCAGGATATGACAAATCCAATACCGGTACCAGCGCTCATGTCAGTAAACTACTCGTACTCGAGTAGTGTCGAACCGTTATTAGAGACTTTGCGATTTCGCATCCAGAGTCAAATTCTAGCGATCTAATTGGCCCAGAACCCTGTTTGACCCACATCCAGAGTCTTTTCGCAAAGTCCCTATTGCACCACTCAGATCCAGGAAAAAAAGGCCCGGGTTTTAGTGGCACTGCACATGTATGCAGTAGCAGTCTCCTTTAAAAACACCTCGAAATTACCGGCACAGGTAATCTTAGTGACGATGGGATAAAAGAAAAGAAAGAGGGGAAATCGGAGGGTGGCTTGAAGTTCAAACATACGCCTCGATTCACTGACTAAAAAAGCAAACCCTTGGTTGGCCGTGCACGGTTCGGGCCGAGGTTATCCGCCCCCATACCCCGCGAACCTCTTGCGAGTATCATACTCCCTTCCAGCTCCGTAGGCTAACGGGAGATTAATGCCATGAGCTCTCTCTGTACCCAGGGTTGACACCATACCCCTGGGAGTTGTAATTTCTAAGCAGGGCCAAAAAAAACAGAAGGCAGACAAACAAGGAACAAACCGAAAATGTAGTTGGTTTGGCATCAAATCAGCACCACACCCCCTAGCAAGAAAAAAAGAGGAGAATCAGTCCGCGCCCTGCTCACTGGCCTTATGCAAGGACGGCCTGTGAGCAAACCCAGACTCCATTGGACAGTTCACGCTTCGCTGTTCGGGAAACCGATGGCGTTCACCACCACCACCACGCTGTGCAACGGCGCGGCCGTGGAGGACGCAGATCTCAGAAACTAGAGCAGGGGATAATGATACCAGTAACGGAATCCCCACCCTCTCGCCCGAAAAACTTTCCGCGATTCAATGCATGGATAGGGTACCGGTAGACGAGGCCGATCGTCGATTTGGGGCCGAGCGATTGTAAGTGAAGGGCGAGGTGAGGAGAGGGGACAAGGCGAAGATGAGGGGATGAGGGGAGTAAGGGAGGGGCCGATGTGCGTGCATGATGCTATGGATGCTTTCGGTGAACTGAGGCCCCGTTCGTATAAGGGGGGGGATGGAAGGCGTCTTCGGCTGGGTAATACAAGTTGTGGCGTCAGCATGTGGTACCGGTACCGTAGGGTACGCAATCGAGTGCTTGGTCATGTCCAGGGCTTATCCGAGACAGGTCGCTTGGCACGTGATGCATCTCAAAAGACAGCACAACACATCAAACCGAATCCCCAAACATGGATGGGGGAATGGGATGCGGGAAGGAGATGGAGTCCCCCAGCCTCCAAGCACCACAACTCGAATCCCATAACTCACCACATTACCCGCCACTCCCAGCGTAATTCATTCTGGAAGGTATCCACATCAGGCTAGTTCGATCTACGGCAGGGATACTCTGCATACCCGGGGTGTTGGATGAAGAAATGGAAAAATGCTCGCGCCGCCACCAATGCTGAGTTGTCAACCGCCGGTCTGTCGTGGCAGACGGGACGTGGACGCTGTGTTGTTTTTTCCACTGGAGCGGGCACTGATTGACGGACCCGAAGCTGGGAACTTGGAACTTGAGATGGAAGGTGATTTTTTCCTCTCCCTTTCCCTTCCCCTCCACCCATCTCCGTTCTGACTGGGCCCCAGGAAGTAGCGAACCCCCGAGTGATGTTCACCACGCGTATCGTGGTTCCGAGTATGTGCACGTCAACCCGGATTTGAAAATTCTTCTCAACTCTTTTTAGTGTCGTTGCCTAGCGTGGGACTGAGATGAGGCCCATGATCGGATTTGGAATACCCATGCTGTGGGCATATCGGTGCATTGTGTGCACCGGTAACGTAGCGTATCACTCGGCAGACCGCAGCCCAGACATGGCAGAGAAGGGAAGAAAGAAGAATGGTCAATTTACCCTCAACCAATACCGTCTCGTGTCGGTGCGAGGGTGAAAAAAAAAAATGGGAGGAGGAGAGACAGAATGCCATATCCTACATGCCTACCCGTGACGCCCGTGCAGCGGGATTTCAAGGTCGATGCTCAACCCCCCCTGTCCGAAATGCTTGTTTATCCACAGCTGGGGAGATGGTGAAGGGAGACAGGCTGCAGTCGTCTGCCGCCTTGAAAGTTGGCCCTTGTGGCCAAAGGACAGCACAGTCGGTGAAAGCTTGATGCCATGAGCCGTGCCGTTTGGCACACTGGGGGGCGATGCCAGAGCTCAAGTTATATAAAGCGCTCCGTGGTCCAGGGTGGCTTCCCCTTTCCCGTTCTTCACCCGCAGGACAGCATCGACGAAGGCCACTCTGCCATTTCAGCGGAAGGGTTTACGAATTTCACGATTTACGGACCCCCTGTGCTTTTTTTGCCCTCCATCCTCCCTGCTGGTTAAACCCAACCCCTCGTACATCCTCGGCCGAACCAGTCTCACCCACAAAACCGAGCGAAATGGGTGAACCATCACAAGCACAGGTGAATGGCATCATCGTCGGCCTAACCATCGGGGGTTCCATCTTTCTCATCTTCGTCCTCACCGTGTTCCATTACTACTCCCGACGTATGCACCGACCGAAGGAGCCACCGATGGGGAGCGAGTACATGAGTGAGGTTTGACGGATAGACGGAACGAACGGCAGCCGTGCGGCACAATAGTACGGGAGGAAGGATTTTGATTGATCGGATTGTAAAAGCTGTTTTTCTTTATTTATTTTTTTCATTCGGATATTCTAGCGAATGGGAGAGGAAGAAGTCACTGGTGGACACACGAGATGTAAGCTTACTCCACTCCACTCCACTCTGCTCTGCTCTACCAATCACACCTTATCTCTCGATAGTGAACAAAGCTAACCCATGAACAACAAACAGCAGTCGAGCCTATTTACTCGCCTGGCATCGTATCACATTTCCTTGCTTTGCAATGTACCAATACTGTACAACTATCGCATCCATCCATATTACGCATCTGTATTTCTACATATACACACACAAACAGAAGAATCACAAACTCGAACCCCCACCCCCTCAATCCGAGTCCATCATACCCCTATCACACCACCACGGGTACCCGAAATGCCCCAGCACACCAACCCAAACCCAACCCACCAGTCGTCCCACCATATCTCACACCCCCACCCATTGCCAGTCATCCACCGTAGTTCCCCCCCCCCATCCCCGTGCCTAGCGGAAAACATGCTTCTCCGGTTTTGCCGATGTAGTGGTGGGGATGGAGCGAACCATACTCGAATGTGGTACCGGTAGTCTACATACGATATTATTCGTTCGTTCATTCATAGTGAATGAGCGATTTAGAATCACGGTTGGATTGCCGGTGCGGTGCTGCGCTACCGTAGGGGTTAAGTTATGGTTACGATACCATATGAGTGCGGATGGTGGTGGTGGTGTTTGATTGTGGCTGCATGCCCGGTTGTGTTACGGTCGTTGGAATAAGGTATGTCTCACTAATGGGATGGTTGGATGGGTGGATGGATGGGCTCGCGAGTGATTGTTGGGGTATGATGTTGTAAAGTGCATATCGTGGTCTGTTGTCATATCGTGATGGTATAGTGCACAATTTTCTTTTTTTTCCCCCGTTCAATAATAGATCTGTATGTCCTTTTGAACTGCAAATGACTAGCCTCCACCACCGCTCTACAAGCCCCGGGGCAACAGGCTTGTATCATAAGCCACTTCTTCGTGGAGGCTTTCCCTACAGCTAACGACCCCAACTCGGCCCCAAACCCTCTCCAACCCGCCTGGTATTGTATGATTCAACCTCAATTAGGTGCCCGCTAAACGTCTCTAGTACGAGCGAGTAAGAAGAGCATCATACCCGAACAAGACTGCGCCAAAATCTACATCCTCCGTTCCCTCACCAGTGTCACACTGCCCACCCAGGTCTTGACCTTCCCCGTGCCTTATTCTAAGATGCCCTTCTCTAGGAGGACCATGATATGGAGGGAGGGTAGTTACAGGGAGAAGCTAAGTTAGGGTTGTGGTAGACTCGTGAAGGCTCACCGCGTCCAGTGCACGATGCACTGCTCTCCCAGCCAGCACGGTGAGCAGGTTTTCCGGGACGTCGCCTTCACGGTTTCAACGGCCCCTTCCGCACCGGGGGGGGGGGTTCACTCACGCGCTTCCGGAACCCGCAATAGCCGTCATGGGAATACCATTTGGGCCCGCAGGTTTGGTCCCAGAGGCAGCAGCCGCCATGGGTCCGCCATACGCCTCCCCATCTTCCCCCTTTCCTCCCCCGGGCACGAGAACCTATGGGAATGGCAACTCTAAAATCCGGGTCAACCCAACATGGCCGTCATCCCCGCTTGCGGCACCGTTGCAGCCTGTTCGGGCGAGACGCTATCCGGGATGTGGGGGTCATTCTCGCCGGAGCGATTGCGTATTCTGAGCAACTTCCGGGTTGTGTAGTCGTTGAGTGAAACGGTGATGCAGTCTCCCACCCGGAGAGATGTCGGCTCCAGGACGCGGATGCGGTATTTTCATTCTGGTCGGTAGTTGGGGGTTAGGTGAGGTGTGGGAAGGGGGCGGGGGGGGGGGGTATATACCTTCCATTCTTTGGGATTGCTGGCGGTCCTGATGGCCCGAATTGGGGCTCCACTGGTGCCTGGCCCTCTGCACGGTTGTGAGTAAGTGGATGGGGGAGAGAGGGGGTAGGGAGGAACGAGCTGGATTTGTACGGAATTCTAACCTCTTTGATCCCGGCCCCGATTGGAATGACGGCTACTAGGACAATTTTCATCCCTTCGGGCATTGCAAAGTAGTTGGTAGTTGATAGGTACTATATGTAATGGTAGTCACAAAGGTCTCTCTTGGAAGTAAATATCTGAAAATAGTTCAGTACGAGTACATAGTTGCAGTATCTACTAGGTAGTCCGTCCGCTTGCAAGATATCTCCTCTTCATACTGATTTTCCTTCTCTCATCTCATCCCCTATACAGTATCCTGCCAAGTCACTGGTACTAGGGATTCCAGCAAGAGTTTACAAATGTCCAGCGGACCAAAAGCTACTCTAAGATCTCCGTCACCATAGAAACGCAAACGTCCACGCCTGCATCCCAGTGTACGATAGATAGGTCACCGTACAAGAGGGCACTCACTCCCTTAGCGCTGGGGGTGATCGATCCATGACTGCCCCGGGACCTGCCCTTCACTTTCCGAGGAGCACGATACGGCATCGCATCGTTGATCTATCATACTACGAGTACAAAGGGGAAAACCAGAGCCCGAGATCACTGCGGATAACTGTGATGATTGGCTGAGCGACGGGTGGGGGGCACCGCGGTGTCGGTTTCAGAGCAGCCATTGTTGATGATATTGGGGTGACTTCCTATCTCACGCTCAAATTCTCTGCAAAAGGGGAGATATGAGCTACGGTATCATACTTTTTCCTGGTGGTATTATATGTTACCTCTCTCTTGCTTTTGGAATGACCTCATCTAGGTACGGTACCTGCATGCACCCGCGGTTGTCACGGGAAGCGCACTGTCGCCAGTGCTGTTCCTGGCAGGGTTTAATTTATTTATTTAGGCCCTGTTCGGCACGCCATTTTTATGGCATCAGGGTGACTTTTACGGCACAAACCTTGGCAACCAAAACTTTTGATTTGGGGGGTGTTCATTTGCAGCGAGGAATAGGATGATTTTTTTTTCCGGAATGTGAATATATATATTGTATCATAGAAAATATTGAGTCCCAAAAGCTGGGCTTAGGGTTAGTAATAAAGAAAAGGTATTAACATGTAATTATATAATAAAAACACAAGCAATGCATTTGCTATCCTGACTGTTTTTTCTTCTCGTTCTCTAACCTTGAGTTAACTTGATTAGTAGCCCTTATATGTAAGAAGTATGTAATACAGGGGGTTTTTTTTAAAAGAATATTTATTTTGTGTGAGCGCAAACACACATATTTCCGAGAAATGCCATATTTTTATCCCGGAACAGAGGCCGTTTTCGATTTTTATCATGATATATTGGGTGGCACCGAACAGGGCCTTGTTTATTTTATTTTTTTCCAAAAAAAAAGAGCCTGAGAGATCAAAGTTTTGTATGGTAGTCAAGCAAGGTGCTGGCAGAGGTGTGTCTCAGACGGATCACATTACCAACCTTGTCCATTGTCATTTTTGGTGGAAGCACGATACGGGCACTAACTTGTGTAGAGTACCAGTACTGTAATATCTTTGTTCCCGAGACTGAGGTTTTTGACCGAGAATATCCGAGTAGGTGAGTCTAATCGCGCCCGACAGCTCAAGCCCTCCTGGAGAAACAGGCCGTGATCCGGCGAGCAAAAAAGACTTATACCTGGAACAGTCGGGGGGGGCTACTGGTATGTAACCATCCTTCGATCTTCCCGATTGGTAAAAGGCAGTCAACTTCTGTGGATCGTTTTGAATTTTAGAGTCACGATAGTTCCGATATTTGCACGCAAGCCGCTCTGTAGCAAGAGGGGTTATGGTGTGTGTGTGAGGTCTAGGGGGTACGAACACAAACAGAGGATGCCCACTACTGGTACGAGTGATTAAGCCAACCGACCCACCAAGGGATGAATGGGCCTTCACCGGTGATAGACTGAGCAATGGTTTGGTTTTCTTTTGTGGCATAACCAACAATTCTGCTAGTATCTGCGGTCTGCATGAAATGCACACTTCGCTCTTATCGCCCCTGGAAGGATGGCTCCTCCTAGGCTATGCGGGGGACCGCAGGGTGAGGGGTAGCAGCATCGTTGCTCTAACAATCTGATTTATACTCCTGATATCCTGATTCCGAGTCTATCCCATGATACTAGAGCATCATATGACGCCAGAGTCAGATGTCGCGGGGTCAGCTCTTTGATAGACCCCGGCGGGAAGTCTGCTCTTACTGAACGCAGCTGCTGTAGGGTACCGATGTTGCGGCGTGTGCAGTACCACGGTGCTGGCGGTGATATTATAAGCAACCTAAAAAGTACGATCCTCGCACCGAAAGTCGTGAGTAGGTTGCCATTTTGCACCGAGATTGGCTGATTTTAAGGACTATTAACTCACCCCAGAGCAATAGAATTGATTAAAGTGGCATTATGTGCTTTGCAATTATTTATTCTATTTCGGAAAAAATAGTGTGATTTTTGTTACCTTTGTGTGAGTACTGGCAGCTGGAGATTTGTTCATGAGGTGTTGCAATGTTTGTACCTTTTTCAAAGAAAACTGGTATGATTCAAAGTAACTTTTGCCCATCCCCAATCTTTTTTCTGAACAAATTCCATATGATTCTAAGGAATTTATCAAATTTTAATTTTTCTATCAAAGCTCAAGGTGAGATTTCCCGATATAAAGCTGCTCATTTTTGGTGTAGAACGCCAACTTACTCATCGCTTTCAGGGCCAAGCTTCTTGTGTCAATGTTATCCTAAGAGATGGCTGGATGCGGTTCCCCGCCTCAAAAAAAGCTAGGTTCGATTCCTTCATGTAAATCCTTACCATTACAGTATCGTCGCCGAACTGCGTAGCGAGAGTCTTTGTGCGAGGTGAGATTCTTGGTCTCGTATTCGGTAGCACCTGCCAGAGGTTCTATGATACCGGTACCGGTAACGGCCAACTGAATGCAAGGCCAATGAAGGAGATGCGGCAACCCATAACCCTGCAGAATGACTCACCGAAGCCGTAAACTCGATAACCACCTCAACCCCATAAAAGAGCTCAATTCCTCTCCAGGTCGTAGAATATCTCCCCCAGAGCTTGAGAAAAACTCAGCACAATGTCCGAAGAAACTCACACACCGGTCACCGGCGGTTGCCTTTGCGGAGCTATCCACTACAAGGTCTCCTTCCCAGCCGGCCCAGAGACGGAATGGCCTCCAGTTGTAAGCTCCAGCATTACCCTGAACTTTGCACGCACTCTAGTGAGGCTAACCACTTGCTAAAGCCACACATTTGTCAATGCACTCAATGCCGCAAGAACACGGGCTCGTTGGTGGTGCACTTTTTCATCATTGAGCCCAAGACCGTCACTTGGTCATCACCGGCACCAACGTACCGCGAATACTCTGCTTCGCCCGGGCGTTTCAGAGGCTTCTGCGATAAGTGCGGGACATTGTTGACGTGGAGGAGTGAGGCCAGTCCGAACGAGATTGAGATCACTACGGGTTCACTTGATGAAAGTGTGCTGAAAGAATTCGGGGATATCCTGGGGAAGCCCGTTGGTGGTCAATATTGGTGCAGTAACGCTATAAAGGGGCTCACAGACGTTATTCCCGTGGGTGATAGGTACACTGAAGGGCCGGGGAGCGCAAAGTGTTGAGGCGTGAGGCAAGGGCTTTGTTTTGCGTTGTAAAAGCGGAGTAGGCTCAATAGGAGATAGCGATGTTTTATTGTGTTTCCATGTATTGTGGTTAGCTATATCGAAGCAAGTTTGGTGGTGGCGGTGGCCTAGAATTATGATACCTCTATGAGATTTAGGATCGATATCCTGTTACTCGTCAAGTCAGCTTATGATAAAGCAGCATTATACCGGCATCACTAATCAACAAGACGTGAATAACGATCTTTCGAGTTCAATCGTGGTAGGCAAGAATTGGTGCGGTATCGTGGTAGATGGCCTCTACCCCCAGCGGTTTAACAGGAGGTAGTGGGCATACTGTACAGTGCTACAGATCTTGGATCCGTTGCACTCGTCTTCAAGCCTTCTCCCACTGAATTAGCAGGGGACTGGCGTATCTCTAACCATAGAATTCCACTCGTTTATCGACAACTTCTATTGGCCTAGTTTTGTATTATTGCTTTGCAAAAATACCCTAATGGAGGCAAGCTATTTGTAAGTCTTTTCGGGCAGTTGATGGTGAAGGGCGTTTGCTGGTGCCTGCGGGGGTGCTGTCGGTGGTCCTGTGTTTGTTGTTTTTTTGTATCATAGATAACATTTTTCTAGTAACCTATGTTTGAGCCAATGTTACGTATATATAGCGTGGTAGTCGGCCTCCTCGTAAAGGGTACCAGTATTCCCTGAGATACCAAGGCACAAGGCAGATTTCTCTTTTATCTCATGTTCCATTTTTATCTCCCCCTCCCTTTCCCTCCCTTTCCCCCCCTTTCCCTGCTAGGTATTTGCTATGCTTCGGCCGATTTTCTCATAGTGGCCCATTCCTCAAATTGCAATGAAGATATTCGATGATGGTATCGTGCTGGAGATATGTATACGAGATTATTATGACAGTTTCATGCTCTGAGGGGGGGGGATACCCTGTCACGGGCTGTGTCTTCCATTTGCACAGCATCCCCGTTGTGCTACTCACCGTAAGAGAACCAATGCCCCCAAAGCGCTACGATATTGCTGATCGGGTGTGGTTGCTGACCGCTTTTCTCTCTCTCGTATTCACAAAACGTATCATAAGAAACATGAGCTCGTATTGTTTTGTCATTCCCGAAGGAACAGCCACCATAGCTTAGGGAATTTCTAGTCACTTCCATCTCCCTTCCGATACAACACGGGCTATCGGGTTCTTAAAGTAGTTCGTTTGGGTGTACCAAAGCAACCCGACAATCCCAATGACCGGCCTGACTCCATAGATCATACTCGGTTAATCAAACACGACGAGCAGCACGGGAACCTCAGCCCTGGGCTTGGTTATGGCCTCCGGGCCAACACTCTTCTGGTCCGGCAATGTGGAGCGATGGAGGCGGGAGGATGCTGTCCTCCATGTATGCACGAACTAAGGAGACCTGCAGTATCTGATCTTTGTTAGAGGGCCTTCACTGGTCTAGTAAGTTGTCTTACTAGACCCTTGAGTGGATTTGAGATGCTCACTGGGTTGACACTTTCAATTTCTTTTGGGGTACTCGGGTACTGTACAGTACAGAACCTGTTGCGGTGGGATTTCGATATATTCTAGTTACGGCGGGGCAACTATTCAACTGTGAGCGAGATTTTACTCAATCGTGCGCATTGCTTCTGGGACCTAGCGGTATGCCAAGAGAAGCCTCGTTTTATACTTCTCTGAGGCTCTGTTGAAGAATTTTGGCTACCGGTGGTTAGAAACTACCGGTAGGTATAGTAATGGTAAGGACTACCGCACCCGGATAGTGACCCAAACTCGAGCAAGGAACCAGGATGACAAAATCCAAACCGTGCGCCTAAAGTATCTTACCTCTCCATAATGCTACAGCTACATTATTTCTAGACAAGGTTAACAAAGCTCAGTTCACATGGCGAGGAGCCCCAGCAGCTACTCTTCGCCCATCTTACTGTAGTCGAATCTTTGCCATCCCCCCGGCAACGCATCGTGCTCGATGAGGGATCTCGCCATCAGTGGGCTAGGGACATTGTTGTAGGGATCCTTTACTGGCAGACTTGGTGTGTCTCGTTTGGGTCGCTCATTCCTCAACTTGAAAGTTTGTTTCAATGATGTGGCTTGGTATCGACAAGGCATCCGACGCACATGGTTTCTCGGATTCCAATTGGGACCGTGCTGTACCGGTATAGTACCACCATTCTCTTGATAAAGCAATGGCTAATAACACCCGAGTATTCTAGTCACGCCAGATGGTCAGCCTTTCCCGCAGAAAGGCCCAAGCAAAATACCGGTACAGTACAGTACGAGTACAAGTACTAGCGTCCCTTTCCGTGCCCCCATTCCAAGCCAAACAGAGGGCTCTCAGCCACGCCCGTATCCCGTTTCACCAATGAATTCAGGCCTATGGCGTCCCATATCCTCACGTTGCATCACTCGGGTAACACTCGAGAGCGTATCCTAGAAGGGAACACACGGCGGGGTTATGCACTCCTTTCCTTGGGCCCCGCGAATAGGGGTTCGTGTCGCCAAGTTTTGCGGTCGGGCTAGGTGACTGTTTGAGACTAGCCTAATCGTACCGTATTTCCAGTGTCCGCCTTGAAATCGACAGCGCCGCAAATGAAGATGGTGCATCGCCAATAGGCCCGTGGCTGCGGTAGCGGAGCAACCCTCTTAAATTATCTCATGGGACATTTCGTGTCGCTAGATTGGTTGAAGGAAGCACGAAGTCAACAGCCGCTATGGATAACGTAGTGGTACAGTACCGTATGTTGGATGGCAGCAACCCAGCTACCGGTATCTCACAAGACACCACATGAAGTGCTGTACCGGTACTCGAGTACTGGTACCTGAACACTTGAATGCATCATAGTGTGGGCGCCCAGATGTGCACGGACAATCTGCCATACAAATTTTGATTCCTGTGTTTACATATAGCCATCGGTACCTTCATTCCGAATACTTGTGTTTCCAATCCTCGGAAACACCCAGGGTTAACTAGGATGGATAGTTTTTCTGGAGCCGAGCCGCATCCGTATTCCATAACTTAACTCCCCACTCCCAAGCCACTCAGCCAAGCAACCAAAGCTTGACCTACGTTACCAACGGCTATGATAACTATGATGGACAGCGCGTCGTATTGTCCTTAAGCGCGGTCCACTATACCGGTATACCATCAGTACGAAGGAGATCAATCAACCCTTACCTACCAGAAGGCGCAGGAGAGAGAAGGGGTCAGGAGGCAGGGTAAGGTAGCGTGAGGTGTATTTTATTCCAACCTATGCGGAGCATAGCAGCTGCCTTGCTGAAGAGTGCGGACATCCCGTGCCCGTGCCATCTACTACGGTACTTGTATGTTGAATCTCTGATTTCCATTCCAGTCCCGGTTTCCTGAGGCCCACCCTGACCCTACCGCACCAGGAAAGTGTACAGCCCGGTACCGGTAGTCCACACGAGCCTCTTCTCATTATTTAAAACAAGGGTTTATTTTCCCACCACGCCTACGGTACGATAATAACGGAGGTCATATGAGAAAAGGGATGGATGGGTGGGTGGGTGGAGAAAAATATACGGCATTCGATGTACCACGACATAGCCCAAACCTCCGGGGCACATAATATAGCAGTGTCTGTTTTCCCGGTCGGGGGGTTCTTTCGTGGAGCGTCACAATATATCCTTTCAGAGCTCTGCTACTGGCTCCTATTTATTTTTCAACAATACACTTTTGCGTAGGAGGCATCTTGATTATACATACATACGTGCGCTTGCGATGGTGCCATTACTACCGCAAACCCTACTCTTTCTCCTCCTCCTCCTCCTCCAATCCCTCACAACCCCCGCCTCCGCTCTCCCGAGGAAAGCTCGAACCAACGTTGGCGGCGGGTCAAGAGGAGCGGCTCCTACTAGCCGAACCACAGCGTACACTTCCCCTTCCTATATACCCTCCTTCTCCCTCATTCTTCCCACTAACGATCCCCCAGAAAAGTGAAGTCCCCGGGGGTAATTGCAGGGATAGCCCTCGGTTCGGCCGCGCTCGTCGTAATCCTCCTGGCTGTGTTCATCTGGCGACGAAAGGTCTGGCAGGACCGGGAAGATCTGGAGCGGGAGGAGAGAAGGAGCACCCCGGATGATACGGCATCACCGATGGTGGTGGTGGCGGGAAGGGGTGGATCGTTGGAGGATGAGGAGGAGCGGGGGTTTGTGCAGAAGGAGAGTGTGGGGAGGGCGATTTAGGAGGCGCACTATGAGCAGATGGGGTGGGGTGATAGGTTTGGTTACATTTGGTCCATGAATACAGGAGATGGTATGATATGATGGTAGAGCGTTTTTGCCATTTTTTCCTTCCTTTTTCGGTGGGCTTTTTTATCATATGTGGACTTTGGGTTACGACGCTATTCTCTATTCATTTTCCCTTGCACACTTTGTTTTATCCTTGGGTGGGCGTACTATCCTTTAGTTCCCTTTTTCCCTCTCTTTCTCCCTTGTGTGTTAATTATCCTTTGCCACACCATTATCATGCAAAATCACTCGGCAAAGTTTCGCAAGGGCTCTCTTTCTCTCCCGCCGCTCGTTCACAAACGTATGATGTGTAACTATCGTAACATAAGTATTAACCCCCCGCCGTCAGGGAGGGGGGGTTTTTTTTTTCTTCAAAGAAAAGAAAGAAAGAAAGAAATGCAACAAACACCAAGTAGATCACCACCCCAACCCACAAATCCCAACCTCACTCGGCGCCCCCTTCCAGAGCACGGCATTCCCAGTCCCTGCCCGGGTAGTCTCGCCCGTCATACTTCCGTCGGTCGATGGGCAAGGATAGTGCGGCCATATACCGTAATAAGTGAGTTATGATAGAACATGCACTGGTCATGGGATATCACTCGTAGTTGGTGAATCTTTTCTGCAGTTATCATATCATGGCTGGAAATAGAGAAGGATGGGATGTATATGGGGCGGAGTAGTGAAGTGATAGGGTCTTTCTTTCTCTTTTTTCTTTCTTCTTTAGTAGGGATGGGCGGGATACTTTGGTTGCCCACCGTATGTGGGATCTCTATCTTGGGTCTTCGCAGATAGATATATCTCTTTTGCGAAATATGTGGTTATCAATCGATGCTGGGGGGGTATGTCTACTGGGGGGTGCTATCATAAGGGGTGGAGGGGTTATACCGTTTTTTTATTTTTATCAGGGCGGTGTATAGTTAGTTCGGTGTGGTGGGCTTCCAGAAGGGAAGGGAAGGAGAAGGAGAGTTTGCGCCTCTGGTATCGTGCATATGAAAAGTGCTAGGGTAGGTATAATAGGTACTGTACGTAGGTAGACGTTGGAATGATCCTTTTGAGACCGGCCACGAGCAGTGTGATGGGTGTGTATTTACCGGTAACTCCAGAGCATAGCTAGCATCCTCCACAGAGCAGACATGATACAAATACATCATAGGAGCTCCGCCTCCGGGGGGTTTTTTTTCATTTTTTTTTTTTCATTTTACAATTACGGGGGTTTGGTAGAGTCTATAGCCCGCGGAATCCTGAGCATGATATTATACCGCGATTATATACTTTACGGAACCACCCTGCGATATCGGGTAAACTGCCAACCCCACTGCCCCACACTCCCCGGTGTGGGAGACTGAAGTGCCTCACCTAGCATGCTCTCGATTCAGTTTTAATCATGATATTACAATCGTGGCAAGTGCTTAAAGATTGTTATAGCCGCAGGTGACAGTAACCCGCGAGATCCCCGGGGATACTGTAGTAGGGTTTGGTGGGACGAGAGGGAGGGTATGGGATCCCTCTTCTCACCTGGCAGAGCTTTTCAACGCCGGTGGTTGATCGAATTCTTCTGAAGCGCTGGGACTGTTGGAGTGCTCTGTGTATATATCTGTTTTAAACAGAGATAATCATGCAGCTAACAGTTTAAGGTTTATCTGTGTAATGGTTTAGAGACAGCGAATTGCTTGTTTGAGCTGAACTGGGGCGGGGGTGGGGAACACCCACGATATTGCAATACACTATCACTTGAAGGGGTTTCCAATTTTACTTGGGTGCACGATAATCGAATATGTTATTAGGAGCGCGTCACTGGAAGTAGATATTATTTGATTGAATTTTTTTAAAAGAAAAATTGCTTGCACTAACTCCGTGAAGCTAGGGGGAAAGAGCAACCATTCCGTAATCTGTACAGTATTTTCATCTATCCATCCCCGCCCAGCAAAAGTAAGCAAAAGCAAGCACACTCTCCTCCCTAGTATAGCTTAAGCGCTAATCTGGACTCCCCTCCTTCCACTCTCAATGCCGACACAGTTCTCACGAGAGGCACCGGCTTTATTCTTTCCACCCCAGTAGGCGGCTTCATTAACACACCTCTTGCACCCGCACTCGAAAGCCCACCCACCCTTCAAGTATTCCCTGCGAACCTCAACAAGCCTATGCCCAACCTCCTCCTCAAAGTAGCTCCTGGAGATCTCGTCACCGACGGCCAAATCCCTCTTGGCAAAGACTCCCATCAGCCCACGATCCTCGGACCACTCCAGTTCGACATTCGGGATGCAAGAGTGATTGATTCTGGACGTGGCGTCGAAGATAGCGCTAGTGGAAGTAGATAAGAGCAAGCAATTGGTCAACCAGATACCCGCCTCAATGGCAAGTCCATGAGCGAGGGTCCAGGATGAGTAAGTCCAGCGGTGGTGGGCGTTGTGCAAGCTATAGAAACTGCGGATGCTGTGGGGGTCGACGGCCGAGAGTGACTCTCGGATGAGGACGTGGAGCGGGGTGTCATCGTGAGTGATTTTGATCAGGGGAGATTCGGCGAAGAGAAGGGCCCCGGCGGGGATGTCAGAGACGACGAAGAGGGAGTAGCCCTTTGTGGCGGTTTGGCGGATTTCGATCTCCGGAGGGAGGATGGGGTGAGATTTGTTAACGGGGATACTGAGATTGAAGAATTGAGGAAGGTAGACCATGTTTGCGACTTCTCGCCTGGTGTGCTTGTGTTGAGGGGAGATTGGTTCTTGATGGAATTGCTGAGAGTGGAGTTTTTATCTTTTTTCCTTCTCTTTTTTCCTCCCTCAGCTAGCGGTGTGTGGGGTGGTTTTTTTTTGAGGAGAAATCAGGTGTGAAAGGTGTGAAGCGGAAGAGAACGGGAGTTGAAGTCCAGGGGCGTTAATGAAGGGTGGTGCGGGTTACGTGGAGGAGGGCATAGTAACTTGCTGGCCTCACGATACTTCCTGGCAAGGGATTAGGTTTTAACCACCTACCTGTAGGGCTACCCGAGGCGTTTGGGGGTTCCGTACGCATCTCCACCTCAGGACACAGAAAGAAGAGAGAGGTGGTTAATCTAGCCTTTGGCCTCTAAATATAAATATCCTAGTGATCTTCAGAGGATCTCACTCGAATGCCAGTTCCCATTATAACGTGGGGTGGGCTCCCTCGTCAATCTTGCAGTGAAGGAAAAAGGAAACCAATGTATCTCAATTACTGCTACCATCCTATTGACAGCCGATAGAATTCTTTAGGCTTTGCACGGGTGGCGGCTCAGGTTTCCTTCCCCCGGGCAAACGCGTGTATAGGGTTTATAATGTGTGGTATCAATTGCCGCCTGGCCACCCCTAGGCACTGAACCTGCGACCCGTGATATTTGCACGGAGATGGTGGTCACAAAGGATTCGTATTTGCTGCCGATTACTTATAGAGCCGTTGATTCACGTATAATGAGGATCTGGAGGGGTGGCATTTCCTTTAGGACCCTGCACGTTGCCGTAAATCTTATACGAAGATGATATTCCCACGTCCAGAGCAGCATCCCCGCCCACGAGCGCCTTACCGTAGTCCTTCCTCGAGCTGTGGGGTGTCGGCTGGTAAGCGGCACTCCCCCTCCATCCTACCCACTGTATTGGGAACGATAGTTTACGGGTAGATACCGTACTGGTACCGTGCTCGTAGGCTCGCAGCAAGTGGTTACAGATTTGCCAAGCTATCCGAGGTTGGGCCGATAAAGGCAGTTCCCGTTGGGCGGTGATACCGGTGGTAAATTTGCTTGTACGGCACTCGAGTACTCTGCTGGGTGTGGACAATAATCGTGCGAGGCCATTCCAGCACATATCTGTGCAAAAGACGATCAATCAAGAATCGCTGTGGACTACATCTGGTCATGCATTTATTGGGTCAAAGTTACTTATAGTGATCACCGCGAGCTCCCCCTACCCTCGTACCGAACCCGGAGGCTCAAAGTCGTCCGAACGTGGCTTCGGATGGTAGACCGCGGGAGGTGCGGTAGGGGTGCATCGTACTTGTACTTGTACAAGTATCATAATAATTATGGTGTTGCACCGTTTTTGTCAATCGGGCGCTTGGGCCGTACTCAAGCACAGCTGACAGTGCATGCCGAGATGGTTCTCTGGAATCCAGCCGAGAGCCTCACGTAGGGAGAATTTAATCCCTGTTCTTCCAATCCCCTTTCTGTGTCGACTGGTCGAAGCTCCAATCGAGTGTGAGTACAAATACCACGAGTTGGCCTCCTTCATCCGAACTTCCCTAGCTTAAGCAAAACCTCACGCGACTGAGTCCATGGAGGAGAATCACTCCGCTTCGCATTCTCATCCTACTGCGGAATTGCTGGAATTCCCCACGTCTACTCCGCCGTCCCCTTCTCCGTCTCCTGCCTCTACAATCTTATCGGCTTCACACGTTGATAGCGGTGCAGAAACCCCTTATGGCAGGCGGAAACACGGGAGGAGGAGGCGAGGTGCTTCCAGGCGAGAACCAGAGGATGGGACAACTGTTCCCTGTGTTGATTCGGACACTGAACCGACCCCACAGGAAAAAACTCGCTGTGAGTAGAGGAGAAAACTTGGGAAAGGGCTATCTAATTAATATGTAGACGAGGAAGCGGTGGGGGATTGGTTCTCCAACAAGCGACCACGACAATTTCCTACGGTTTTGTTCAGGGTCCTCGGAAAGATGGACCAGGAACGGGAGGATTGGCGAAAAAAAGAAGAAAACCAAAAATGCCCACATGAGGTTATTGCCGAGGCGTGGCTTTCACCACAGCTAAACAAATGTATGCTTTTGGTGGTCGATTTTTCCTTCTTTTCCTTGAGGGGGCAAATGCTGACAATGGAACAGCTCCGCACTTTAGAGGTCGGAACGGAATTGTATTATGGAGTTGGTTGGAAAATTCGGTATGTGTTATCGTTCTTTCAGGATCAGATTGTCATCATCGGCCATGGACTTCTGGCTGATCCGTCCGAGGTGGTAAACAGAGGCTGAAAGATGATCATTTTACACTAATGTAAAGTAGCGCTGTGGGAGCCTTCACTTTCTAGAGCTAATGCCCGCCATAGCTCTCTTGCTGGCCTGACCCAAGATATTCTCAAAGCGTTGTTGATACACTATGATATCAAAATACAGTGCCTCTACGACATGCTTTTTGTAGATGGCTTCTCTGCGAACCTCCATCCCCCGTCAGCGAACGGTATAGTGGGCCCTTACGGGATTGTGTTTCTAGCATGGCTGAACCTTGTATGATAGTCTTCTCGTTGTGCTTTGACTTCCTTCGGCAGGTGCCATTGGGTACCGAACGAAAAGGCTACATACAAACATTCCCAGAGCTTGAGAATTACAGACGGGATCACGTATTATCGTGGAAGTGGGATCCGGATGCCCCGGAGCGCAAAGAATCGTTAGTATCTCCAATCGTCTCCCCCATGCCGGCCCGTTAATGCTAGTGCCACAGCGACCGGGGGTTCGATATCTGCCGAGCTTCAATATGGATTCGAAGGGATCTCAAGATGAATAAGAAGACGGCGATATTCTATACTCAGCCAAAGAGGTCCAAACATATTCCCAACAAGGGTCAGACTCAATGGCGAATGAGTCAGTTCTGTGATGATATAAATAGCCGGACGCGGCGGAAGCTAGAGGATGTTGACCCGGAAGATAGTGAGGATATTTTTCACTTCTTGCACCGATACTTTAAGGATACGTTCAAATGGACACGGGTACTTGAGTTGAATCAGCGGAAAGTCCGTGCGTTGGTAAGTCATCTTTATTGGATTATGTCAAGAGATATCCTAACTTGTGCCCCCCAACGTAGGAGAGGGAAGCTTTCGAGTCGCCAATGATTGAGACTACGAGAGATATATACCGACAAAGGTCGGCTCTGGACACACACCTTTCAATACTTAATCTGCAAAGAACAATGATTTCCGCGCTTTGTAGTCGCGAAGTGCATGATGAGATGTTCTGGCCGAAGGATGCTAGATTATTATTTGGAGACATCGAGGATACTCTCGGTGAAAAAATAACCGACTTTGAGAGAATGAGGAAGCAATGTGATGATATTCAGAACCTGGTCAGTACAAGCAATACCTGGAGGACAGATCGTCAACCCTACCCAATACTGAAACTGGGTACAATTAGATTTTCAATACAATAGCAATTGAAGAAAGTCGGGCGGCAGTTGATCAAGGCCGAAGCATTGGCCGATTAACGTGGATGACTTTTGTTTTTCTCCCTTTGTCGTTTGTAGCTGTATTCACCCCTTTCCTATCCTGTCTTCAGCTCCACTATCTAACCAATGCAGTCGATACTCGGAATGAATGTTTTCCAACTCGAGAATGCTAGCCTATGGCTCTACTTTGCGGTCTCTGCCCCGCTACTAGCGTTTATTATCCTTGGTCTTGTGCTCCTCAAAGCAGGCATCCTGTACAGCCAAAGTGGAAGACCCAACCTCAACTTTTTCAGCTGGGTACTCGCGGGCAGGCCCGGAAAACAACGATTAGCTAGGCTTGACCTGGAGAAGGGAGGACTAACTGAGAAACTAAAAGATCGGTTGGGAAGCACTAGTCAGACACGAAAGGATAATTCGCCAATTGAGAAGGGGAAGGGGAAAGGGAAAAGCAAGAATAGAGGCAAGAAGCAAGAGTAATATGGAATGGTTTATGCTACATGTGCTAGGGTATATATGTTAGGGTATATATGTTTTAATCTCCAAACTACAATATCAGTCCCGGAATAGAAAGACGTTTAGTTAATAAGTGCTCTTGTTGAGGTATTCCACAGCCCTCTCCGGTTGGGGTCGCCTCAGGGTCGCCTCACGCAGGTTAACGCCTTCTACAACAAAACCTCGAAATCTCTTTCGCGGGCCTACCTGAACCCACCGCTTGTACCCCCCTTGACCGGTTCACAAACAGTTCTATAGGATAGGGCGTGAAGATGGTCAATCTACAAGCTCTTCGTAAACTATCGTAGTCACGTGCAGTGTATTTACCCCGGAAACTTGCCACTCTTCAATTATTGAGTGCCGATTCGGCACCTAAATTGATCTTTGAATATCGGAATTTATGATCCCCCAAGAGTCCTGATCTCGAAGGCCCATCCCACAACTCGAGGGTGCATCGGACCCCCACTCAGATATCAAGAGGCCGGGCCCATCGGGAAGGTCTCCTGACCTTGGAATATGTACTGCAAAGTACCCCACACAGAATATGGTAGTAAATGCTCATGCCCAAGGCCCCCCGCCTTCATATTGGGGGGGGGTTAGTTAGTCAGTCAAAGCTAACTCCCAGTCTCGCCGCGGTATGGTAAAAGAGGCAACGCTGAGCTCATGGATACCGGCACTGGTATCCCATCCACTCTTGTCCCTCAACACCACCACCACCACCACCATCAGATTATCTATCTCGCTCGCGGTGATATTATAAACCGGCGAACTAGAGACATCCGTTGTTGCCCAATCTGTATCGAAATCTATATGGGATCCCCCTCCCTCTCAAAATCCAAGGATAGGCCCTGACCCCCATCGTGCGAGTGTGTGTGGGGTGTATGCTTGGTTTATCACTCGTTAGATATCGTTGGATCGAAGGGTAGCTTACGGCAGTGCGGGCACAGCGGTGATAGTTAGATCGTCACTCACGTCTCGCTCCATAAGCGAATATAACATCACATGTATTTCCTCTTCCTCCTCTCTCTAGTCTTACCTCCCCCGCTCACGCATTTCAAAGGGTCTCCTACGACTCCTATATCTTGCCAACCCTCGGATTTCACCTAGCAAAGATCTGTATCTCGACCGCTTCCACCCAGCAGACCTCGCCTCCTCCCCCTCCACCCCCAGCACGGCTCGCACCCTTCCGCCCAGGCCTGAAAACTGAAGTCGGCTTTTAAATAGAATCATATTCAACCCTGTGATCGGTGATCGGATAATAACAGCAAAACAAAGACTATATATACAAACATCCAAGTTGAGCGCAGCGATCATTCCATACCAGCCTTCATTCACAAGAAACTTGTTCCTGACCAGGGAATGCAATCCACCAGCTACTTAGCACGTGTAGCACATTCCAGACAACAAGGCCCACCCATATGAAAAATTTGGACTCCCGAGTGATTCTTCATGATTTGGCGTTGTATGACACTTATATAGTATGATACGAGCACGATGCTTCAAGGCGGGCTCTGGCATGAAGATCTCCCGGGGGCCGCACTGCACGTTAGCGGGCAATCGTTTGCTTAAGCAAAGGTTTTTAGGCGTGGGATAAAGCAAGAGACGGTGGTTTGGAGGTTAGTGTTCGCGAAGTGTTAGTACGTATTAGTGGCTAGGGTTAGTGACCCCACGGTATTATATCATACCTTCCACGACTTGTTTAACACCTATTCGGTTGTAACGGGGTGTGAAGTTTTTGCGGAGGATAAACACCATATCAGCCAGAGATGGCACCTCAAAAACAGAGGGGTGTTTTCAGTGACCAAAAACTGGGCTCTCCAAGAACTACATTTCACCAAAAGCCGTATGCAAAGGAAAAAGGTCACACCGAATTTCAGAATCCCGGTGTTGTGAGGGCACTTTCTTTCCATGTCACCCTGCCCGTAATTCCATAATTACCGCCTATCACATCCTGGCCGAAATTTTGTGAAAGCGACCCTATTCGTACTGTACATTAGTAGCAGGTACAGTACTCGTGCAGTGCCCTATCTGTTTCCAGTCACTCTTTAAAAACAAACCGTTACGAGATGTGCTTTCTGATTCCCTGTCTTCCCGCCCGTGATTCCCGTTTCTTAAGATGCTGGGCCCTGGCCTCACCATCGGATCTCGGGTTTTAGTGCTTCTGAGGTGAAGGTTTAAGCGCTTTGCACTGCACAGTACTCGAGTACAGTACTGGAGTATCGCGACGCGGCATGACATGGCGTGTTTAAAATTGGACAGGTATCACGTTCTGTGGAACGGTTGCCCGCGGGAAGCGAGCTATGGCTTGAAGAACGGTCGTCGGGGTGCATCTTTTATACACCTTGAGCTATATCGTTTGACGCAGTGTAATACCGGTAGTATGATACCGGTAACCTTCGTGCCTGAGTGCGACTGGATAGGTCACAATCCCGGCGAAGGAAAATGCCGTAGGGGGTGGTGAGAGATGCTGTACGGCAGTTATTTTGGAGCTTTTGCCGACCGTAAAATATCATGAAATCCACCGTCTCCAGCCGCCCGTCATCCCACTGCGGATTTCACGAGATTTTACGGTGTTCGGGTGGTGTATTGGTGTGTGGCGTTGTCTACCTTGGCTTTTCTATTGTCTGTCTTGTCCTACCGGGGCCTTAAATTATGATGTTGCAGAACATCGTACGGTACGAGCACGGCACCGTAGTCCAACGTACAGTACTGCGTTGTTTGATGCGTCAAAATCTATAAGCACAATATAAATTTAGCTTCCCGGGATCAAAATTTTGTGCAGTATATGCACTACGCCGTACAGCACTTGGTACTCGTGCAGTATCGTACTTGCAATTCCACACCCGTCCTCCCCGAGTTCAGATCATCCGGTGCCGTATGATCTTCCCACCCAATATTCTAAGCTAAAGCTATTTTAGCCACTCTTACAATACCGTAAAATCTCGTGAAATCCACTGGCGGCCGGAGATAGTGGATTTCAGGAGATTTTACGGTACGCTCCTCGCCCGGCCCATGCAGAGCCCAAGCAAACACCAATTTCTCACCATGTTCTTTTTATGCCTTGAGCCCTATAATGCTCTATCATAGCCCAGACCCTAGCATTCCCCACCGAAGCCCTCAAACACACTCTCTAGACTAGACTAGACCCCCCAAATTCCCACCTTGGGGTTATGAATCTCCAAGCATAGGGGCAGTACCAGCGGCCTTTGCGTAGAGTAAAGTGATTAGGGATGGGGGAACCGCACCCGAGTATTGGATAGTCTGTCGATTTTTCCTGATGTTTGTTTGGAAGTTTGGAGCGGGTCGGTCTGTTCTTTTTTTGGGTTTCCCGCGGGCAAAGGCTTGTGTTTGATCAGGAAGGAGATATTAATATTGTCTTAGCTAACGGTTGTGATCATAGCAGCATCAGCAAGTAGTGGCGAAGCCCGGAGGGGGGCGTTCCTACCATTGTACGGTACGAGTACTGTACCAAGCAAGTAGTGTCCATCGACTTGGCCGATCAGGCTGGGGCGTTCCGTGCCACAGAACTACAAACGATTGAACAGTGTACGAGTACTACCGGCATGTCGTTCGGGTTGCCTTTCCTAGTACGCCTACGGTTTTACCATTTTGGCTGTCATAGGAGGGGTTAGGTAAGTTAACTCACCTTTTGCTGTGTTTTTCCCCACTTTTCCGGGGAAGGAGATTTTGGGAGACCTAGCACCGTTCGGTTATTTGGTATTCTACCAGTACGGTACCGGTATCCAGGGGTCAGGCATTAAAAAGCCCCAAGGCAAGTCCAAGTACCGGTACTAGGTAAGATGTTTTCCAAGACAGGGATTACTTTGCCGGTTAATTAAAGCACCCCATTCTTGTACGAGTCCAAAGATATCTTGCCTAGAACTTGTGCCCGGAAGCTGGTGAGTATACTGGTATCCTTCATTGGCACTCCGATTCGAGTAGGCCTCCCACCATAGTGTAGTTCACTAATCCCCATCCTTAGGTGGTTCTCCCCTGGGACAAGAGCCCAGTAGTCACCCATTCAGATAGAGTACCGTAAAAACTCGGATAGAAGCTACCGGTAAAGGTGCTAGGACGTCGTAAATTTAGTTGTCCCTCCTTGCAAGATGCCGTGTACCCCCTTTGTTTCGCCCCAATTGAAAGCTAAGTTGCGATATGCTCCCCTAACCGAGAAGGGAGAAGGGGAGTTCCAACAGCCTAGCGCATTTACTGGTACAGGCATCTTCCATTCGGGTTCCTACCATAAGTCACACCGTCTTCCGGAGGACAGTTTGTATAGCATTTCCGACGTACTTTCATTCCTCGAGAATACTGAGCTTAGGCAAACTCAGACAGCAGACACTATGGAGGGTGATTCCACCTAACGTCTTAGCACACCACTCCGGCCCCCTCTCAGGACAAGTTGGAAAATTCGGGATCTACCCACACAAGCTCCCAGCTTCAGGGTGGGAGTGATATTGCTCCAGGAACCGGTCCCTTTCACAGCCCAGCAAGCAATTCCAACAGAAATACTACCCATTGGCACACCGTCTAAAAGCATACTAAAACGGACCAGCTACCGGGCCAAGACACCTTCACGATACTGCTCCAGTCTCTCAACCTAGGGCTTCCGTCAATCCCAATCTATCTCGACCCCTGGAACTCTCGGATTAGGACCGGGAAGCGGTCCGCTGCAGCCGCCACAGCCCCACCAAGGGCATTTCACACCCTGTGGGCTATGTGTCCGGGTGTCCTGTTTAACCTTACCAGGTCTGTAACGGTAAGACTAGCACAATGCAAAACTAGAAATGATGCCGGGAGATTCAATCTCGATTGCTGAAGTATTAGCAAAAGTACTTGGATCTTCGGAAGGCACCACAAGCAAATGCCAAAACCCTACTAGCCGCCTATCGTAATCCAGGGCGGCATTCGTGCTTCGACACGAAGCAGGCTAGCTAGCATACCGATAACGCAGTACTATTGGCATGAGAAGAAACAATTGAGCCGCACGGCTCGGGTATCTTATGGGGAAGCGTACGGGCAGGGGAGGGAGTGTGATACGTGAACCACTCTAATAGTAGACTCTGGAGGAATGGCGAGCCCCAGGGGTAACCTACCTCCCGTGATACCCTTACAATACCATAATTAAGGGCAATTACCATACCAACACGGTACCCCGGAATCCCGTCTCAAGGAACAAATATTCTCTACTGTAGATGATATGAGAACATTTCCACTGAGAGCGAAAGTTCTTATCACCCTGTGCCTGTCTAACCTAGCCGAGGGAATGGAGGATGACCCAGCAAGTTATGACGCCTGCTCAGAGCAGCTGGGAGATTAAAAAAACAACTGATTTTAAGCATGATAAAGAGGGAGGTGTGTGTGCATGTGAAAAAACCTTACTGGACCCTGCACAGCCTCTTCCAAGTGTCTCCAATTATGTACTTGTTGCTCGAACACTGGTGCAGCACAGTGCAGCCGACTCAGTATGTGGTCTCGCCCTATTTGGTACGGGGGGCGCTGGTCTAAATCCCCTCGTCCTGGGCATCAAGGGTAAGTCTAAAAAAAAAAAAAGTCTGTCGAACTCCCTCTAGTTCGCCCGGTTGCCTCTTAGCCGCTCATAGAACGGGATTCCCTCCAGCCACTCCACAAGAGGTCAACAGACCCTTTCCCTTCACTAAAAAAATAGTGTAAATTGGCCATACGGCTACAGAAAACAAGGAAAAAAAGAACGGTCACACTCATAGTAATTTCGATGAATCAGCCTAACTTTGACGGGTCTATGCTCATATCCCCGTATTTTCAATTGCTGGATGGGGCAGAACGATCCCGTGGCATGCAGAAACCGTACCCCAAAACACCCTTGATTGGGCTTATATCTCATTGGCTCACCAGTCTTTTTGTTGGACCTCGGGTGGTAGGCGGCGAGAAGAACTCGGGTGTTTGAAGAATGCGGGGCCCGTTTACTAATCCCTCTTATCTGAATCATATCCCTCCCTTACACCTTTTCCCCACCCCAACTTCTCTTGCACTGGTCGATTACCGGCGACATAAATCTATTTTTTTCCTACTATCCTCAACTATGTCAAGTCAGGTACGTTATTAGGATCTAAGGTGTCACAGTAGGAACACTTTTTTGAACCTTACTAGGTATTACCATCGTTCCAGCAGCATGGAGCCGGCGGATATCCGCAAAGCACACATATCGGAGCCAATCCGAACCCACCACCTGTAGCCGGCAATGACCCTGAGATACTACACATTCCTCATTCTGGAATACTATACAATCAAAAAGAGCCTGATGAAAACGGCGGGCCCGAAGCACCCAAAGAAACAATTTTGGGGATAAAAAGGAAGGTTTTTATGATTGCGTTAGGGGTTGTTATCATCATTGTCATCGCGGTGGCAGCAGGAGTAGGGGGAGGGGTCGCAGCGGCGGCTGCGAAGAGTAAAGACAATGACCCAGAAGCCCTATCTACACCTACAAACACCCCGTATGTTCTCCGGAATTGCGAATCCTGCAGCTTATTAGTAAACGGTATTAACAATTAACATCAAAAATTCTGCAGTAGCGGCGTTTCAGAAACCACTGTCCCTACCATTGCGTCTCCTACCCCCACACCTATTGTTAAGGATTCACCACTTGCAGTTGTCAATTGGGGTACCGGTGCTATTCAATTATTCTACAAAGACACGGATCGCGCTGTCAGATACCTATACTACAATGGGTCAAAATGGGAGAGAGAGTCGGATCCAATAGTAAGAACTAGAGAGGATTCAGGGCTTGCTGCGATAGGCTGGATCGAAGAGTCTCTCGTGCCACTAGTGCGGCAGGTATGTACAGCATCAGTAACTCCACCACTTTTCCTTCTAATACTCTACTTTAGGTACGAGTGTATACTGTAGATAGAAGCAACATTTTGAAGGAAAGTATTTGGAATAGCTCTGCTGAAATATGGCACACCCAAGCTATAGGCAAATGGTTAGAGCCGCCCGTGGCAGGAAGTCACCTGACTGCCTATGCTTGGTTTGCACAAAACATGCAGTTCATCCGAGTTTATTACCAAGGCCAAGATGGATACCTCCGGGAGGCAACCCATGATAGCAACACGCGCGGCTTCGGATGGACAAATGGTAGTGCACCAAAGATTGAATCCTTCCCACGGGCAAAGAGTGGCACTGGGTTGGCTGTCGTCCCGTTTCCAGATAGGAACAAAGATGAAGCAAAGCTATATTATCAGAGCCTTGACGGGAAGTTGGTGTCTTATGATTACAAACCAGAAAATTCCTGGGAACAAAGTTGGCGGAATCAGAGTGGTTCGTTCCTCCGCTCTATCTTTGGGAATGGGTATAAGATATCTGCTAACAACCTTCTCCCAACAGCATCCGTGGACCACGGATATATACCGGATGGGGCACAACTTGCTGCGGTGATCAACAAATCCACCAACCTAACACTACGAATATACTTCATCCAAGATGAAGAGTTGAAGGAAATCTGGTGGGAGTCGAAAGGTGGATGGAGGAAATCAAGCACTATTTTCGGCGCCGCAGCACGGGGTGTTACTGCAATATCATCCGGTAACAATATTCAAGTCCTCTTCCAACACAAGACGGAAAACATCTCATCCATGACCCTCGACCGGAAGACGAACAAGTGGGAATTCGGTTGGATACTATAGGACCGGCGGGTGAGATTGATCTCGCGTATTGTAGAGAGGGGATGAGATATATGATCCCATTTTTTTCTGAGTAGGAGTTCCAGACCTTTTCACGGAGAGGGGCTCTTTCCTTTGTCTACCGTTCATAACTCCGTTTTGAACTATGGAGTGCTTTCTTTACGAATTCAGGGAGAGATCCCTCAATAGTTTCTTAAGCTTGCATATTGCCGTTTCCAAAACATTTGAGAAACCGAACGAGCCTTTTTTGAAAGGGAAAAATCACTTGACTGTCTTGGATACGCCAACAACTCTATGCCGACGTTTTGCTGGCCTTATTGGAAAAATAACCTAAAGAAGAGTCTTCATCATCAATGGATTGCTCGAAGAAGACTTTCGTTGGCTCATATTTTACTCGGGCTACGATACCCGAAACAATCAAGACCTTTTTTCGAGTTCGCTCGGTTTCTCAAGAGCTCTGGCAACCTCAATAACATATCAGCTAAGGTTATTCGCGTAGCTAATATCAGATTACAATGCCAGTACCATAATTAGCGGCAATAACCTTACCAACACTGTTCCCCGGAATCCCGTCTTGAGGAACAAAAATTCCCCATTTTAGACGATATGAGAACATTTCCATTGAGAGCGAAACTTCTTATCACCCTGTGCCCGTCTAATCCTGCGGAGGGAAGGGAGGGTGCCGCAGTAAGTTACAATACCTGCCAGAGAGGCTGGAAGATGAAAAAAGCAATAGATTTTAAGCATGATAAAGGGAGCGGTGTGTGTGCGTGCGAAAAAGCCTTACTGGACCCCGCACAACCTCTTCCAAGTGTCTCCAATTATGGGACTGTCGCTCGAGCACTGGTGTGGTACTATCCGTACTAGGGGATGTGCAAAAGTCTGTGGAACTCTGGTCCGGTTGGCGGAATTTATGTGTGTAACGCCAATCATGCAACTGGGCACGCTATAGATGCTAATTTTGAAGGAAAAAAGCCTGTTGAACTCTTGGCACAGCGGCTGGAGCAAGGCTGGGGCAAATACTGTTTCCTGGGCGGTCAAATAGGCCATGGAGTCAATTGGAGGGAGTTTGACAGATTTAGGGGGTGTTTGGCTTGACACTGTTTCCAAATCATTATTTCAAAAAAAAACCCCGTCAAGCAGCAAGTATACTCTAAAGGGCTTAGAATTTGGTGCAAGAATGATTGTACCGTATTTATAGTTATAAAGTTTTAGCATTAACTCTAGTGGTATTATAATCAACTTTTCCCATCATTTATAACTAGGAAATTGTGTCCTATACCCATACCCCCTGATTAGGTCTCCTTCAAGTCATGATTTCAAAATCCAAGTTTAATATTTTTAAAGGCGTCTCGCAGAGTGCAGTTTTCAAATCGTGACTATCCGAAATCACAGTGTGCCAAACACCCCCTTACGAGTACTCACAAACCCCGGTATGGTATGATACAGGGGGCTGGCCTAAATCCCACTGTCCTGGACATCAAGGGTAGGTCCGTCGAACTCCCTCTGGTTGGCCCAGTAGCCTCCTGGCCGCTTAGGGAACAGGATGCCCTCCAGCCACTCCACAAGAGTTCGGGAGATCTTTTCCTTCACCAAAAATTAGAGTAGATTGGCCAAGGGCTGCAGAAAAAAAAGAAAAAACTGTTACACTCATGGCGATTTCGACGAATCAACCAGAGTTTGAAAGACGTACAGTATACACACATCCCAGTACCGTACCTTCAATTGCTGGGCGGGGCAGGGCGGAACGACCCCTGCACACAGAAACCATGCGCCAAAACATCCCTGCCTCACTGGGTTCGTATCTCATTAGCTCACCAGTCTTTGTGTTGGGTCTCGGACGGTAGGTTGCAAGAACAACTCGAATGTTGAAAGGGCCATCACACTGTTTCTACTACCGGTACCACAACTCAGCCATATAATACAGACTCCCCAGACCCAGAGTTTAGGACAAGATCCGGTACCTTTTCAATCTGAAAGGCATAAGGCTCCGGGTGATCCTTGGAAGCAGAATGGTTGTTTGACGAATGCGGGGCTCGCCTACTAATGGCTCCTATATGAATTATACCCCTCCCCCGCCCTTTCACCTTCTCATACTCCAACCCCCCCCCCCCACCCACACTGGCTGATTACCTGCAACACAAATCCATTTTTTCCTACTATCCTCAGCTATGTCAAGTCAGGTACGTCGTTAGGACCCAAGTTGTCACTGTAGGAACGCTTTTTTGAGCTTTACTAAGCATTACCACCATTTCAACAGTATAAAACCGGCGAATACTCACAAAGCGTGCATATCGGAGCCAATCCAAACCTGCCACCTGGATATGACAACGGCCCTGAGATACTGCACATTCCTCATTCTGGAATACTATATAATCAAAAAGAGCCTGATGAAAATGGTGGGGTCGAAGCACCCGAAAGAACAATTTGGGGGATGAAAAGGAAGGCTTTTATGATTGCGTTAGGGGTCTTTATCATCCTTATCATCGCGATAGCAGCAGGAGTAGGGGGGGGGTGGCGGCCGCCGCCGCGAAGAGCAAAGACAATGACTCGGAAACCCCATCTACACCTACAAACATCCCGTGCGTTCCCCCGAGTTGAAAATCCTGCAGCTCATTGGTAAAAGGTATTAATGTCAAGAATCCTGCAGTGGTGGCGTTTCAGAAACGACCGTTTCTACCATTGCGTCTCCTTCTTCTACACCTATTGTTAAGGATTCACCATTTGCGGCTATCAATTGGGGTACCAGTTCTACTCAATTATTCTACAAAGACACGGACCGTGCCGTCAGACACCTATCCTACAATGGGTCTGAATGGGGGAAACAGTCGGATCCAATAGCTAGACCTAGGGAGGATTCAGGGCTTGCTGCGATAGGCTGGGTTGATCTGGAGTCTCCTGTGAAGCAGGTATGTACAGCATCAGTAACTCCACCACTTTTCCTTCTAACGCTCTGTTTTAGATACGAGTATATACCGTGAGTAGAGATAACATTCTGATGGAATGTCTTTGGGATAGCTCTACTGTAACATGGAAGACCCAAACTGTGGGTGAAAAGCTAGAGCCACCAGCGGCAGGAAGTCACCTGACTGCCTACACCTGGTTTGCAGAAAAGGTGCTGCAAATCCGAGTTTATTACCAAGGCCAAGATGGATACCTCCGGGAGGCAGCCTTTATTGGCGGCAATGGCGGCCCCGGATGGACAAAAGGTGGTGCACCAAAGATTGAATCCTTCCCACGGGCAAAGAGTGGCACTGGGTTGGCTGTCGTCCCGTTTCCAGATAGGAACAAAGATGAAGCAAAGCTATATTATCAGAGCCTTGACGGGAAGTTGGTGTCTTATGATTACAAACCAGAAAATTCCTGGGAACAAAGTTGGCAGAATCAGAGTGGTTCGTTCCTCCGCTCTATCTTTGGGAATGGGGATAAGATATCTGCTAACAACCTTCTCCCAACAGCATCCGTGGACCACGGATATATACCGGATGGGGCACAACTTGCTGCGGTAATCAATCAATCCACCAAACTAACACTACGAATATACTTCATCCAAGGTGAATACATGAAGGAAATCTGGTGGGAGTCGCAAGGAGGATGGAGGCAATCAGGTCCTGTTTTCGGCGCCGCCGCGCGGGGTGTCGCCGCAATATCATCCGGTGACGATATTCAAGTCTTCTTCCAACACAAGACGGAAAACATCTCATCCATGACCCTGAATCGCAAAACAGACAAGTGGGAATTCGATTGGATACCATAGGGCCCGCGCATGGGATTGATCTCGCATACGCTATAGAGAAAAGGGATATGAGACATAGGATTTCATTTTTTCTGAGTAGGAGTTCCGGACCTTTTCACGGAGAGGGGTTCTTTCCTTTGTCTACCATTCATAGCTCCGTTTGAATCATGGAGTGCTTTCTCCAGTTCCAGTAATCGGGAGTGGAGCAGCATCCCCTTCGCCTGGTTAGCGAATTCAGAGAGAGATCCCTCAACAACTTTCTAAATTTGCATATTGCCGTTTCCGAAATACTTGAGAAACCGAATGAGCTTTTTTTGAAAAAACACTTGATTGTCTTTGATATTCTAATAGCTCTATGCCGACGTTTTGCTGGCCTTATCGGAAAAATGACGCACAGAAGAGTCTTCATCAATGGATTGTCCAAGGAAGACTTTCGTTGGCTCATATTCTTCTCTAATACCGGTAATGACTTGAGTCATGATACCCGGAATAGTCGAGTCTTTTTTCGAGTTCACTCAGTTTCTCAAGAGCTCCGGAAATCCCAATAATAAATACATCAGCTGAGGTTATTTGCAATACATTCCAAGCCGGGCAGTCTCTCGCCATCAGGGCTGCGGCGGCCGATCCGCAAGTGAATTGATGTGAGCAAGCGGGTTGAAAAACAAAAACCCCTTCACAAGAAATTTTTGAACTCTCCAGTTCTACTGAATTCCATTGCGCTCATTATTAAGTCCGAAGAATCTTCGTGAAACTGACTTTATAATTACCCTCTCATCCAAGCAATCTTTTCGTACTCTGGGAAGATCTGATCCGACTATATGTCAGCAGAGCTACAAATGCGCCCTAACTCTAAATAAAACCACTCTTATCATACTTTCGATAAATCTCTCCACGCACCATCCATTGTTTATCTTTTTTTCCAACTTGTTCTACCCCCCACCCCCGTTTCATGAATAAACAGGATTTTGCCTTTACTAACCGGTACTGTACACACTGTTTCTAGCTACAGTGTCAATGAACAAAAATACAGTTTTCACTTCCGTCATCCCAAATACCGTTAGTTTTATCATGGGCAGAACCATAATATGATCCCCACTTCCTGCAACTCGACCGCCAATACCTCCGCCGGCAAGCCACGATTTACCAACGCACCACCAAACAAACCCGAAAACCCACCCACACACTCCCCAACGTCAAAGACACCTCCATCGCATATATCCCCACAATTCCCATGCACACCCAGCCTACATGTGATTCCCATTCGACCAGTCAGCCTGCTCGGCTGCTCATTCCCGCGAAAGCATCCCTGCAAGAGTCGTACCCCCTTCTTTGCCATCCGGTTCCCCTCACTCACTCGCTACAAACATGCATACAAGTATGCGACCACGGCGCTTCTATCTATTATACTCGAGCGCAGCTCAACTCCCGCTCGTACCATACTGTCGAGATTTTTTTAAAACGGGATGCTATAGCTTGCCGTCGAAAACCTGAGACCCTGGCAGACTCCTGTCCGCACGCGATCACGGCCTGTTTTGCAAACGTGAGGACAGTGCGAGTACAGCACGTGCAGTTGGCTATCCATCCACATGCCTATAAAAACTCCAGAGCTATGTATACGAAGCTGCGGAATGAGGTCCGTTTCTTGGCTCCCATTCAGTGATATATCATACTACACACTACTCTAGCTAAGCACGCTACGGCAGATTGCCTTCTTCCCTCTTTCCCCTAGTTATGCAGAAGGCTACCGATATTGCGCAAAACCTACGAACATCAGGGAACCTATGGCTTCGCGGCAGACAAGACCCAGCTGTATTCTTCAACAATGAAATCTATTTTCAAGCTGTGATACCAACTAAAATATGCCTTCCAGCCTGGTAAAACGTGCACCAATACCCCCCCCCCCCTTTTTTTTTTTTTTGAAGGGAAAGTAGAGATAGACTGTGCGCTAGGTATGCCGAGAACTTGGAACCCCTCCGAGTGCCCTTCACAACAGCTCTTCCACTAGGCGTTGAGACGTTAATGGGTTTCCCCCCGATCTAGAGTCGATCTAGGTACCCCGTGTTGGTTTCTAGATATTTATGGCTCCTCCTCCTACGCGCAAGTCGGGTATCGCACTTAATCCACAGGGAACTCCGACCCTATTGCTATAACACCATGAGGACCCCCCCGCGGATCTATACAAAATTAGTAAACGGCAGCGGGTAGCCACCAAATTGAACGAGTGACTTTTGGTGACGCCAGAACTCACAAGAATGTATACCATAATATAAAACACCCCGAAATGTGGCTGTGAGGATATCAGAATTTTGCCACAGCTGCACTGGTCGTGGCGGGGCATTGCTGACATTAGGGGCTCCGTAAATCGTTTATCTATTAAAATTTGAACATCTCATATACCAGGTTTTGCAGGCGAAATCTGCTGCTCGACATTGTGATACTGAGGTTAAGTTAGACGCCAGCATGCGCTCTCAATAGAAACAGTGCTTAAGCTGAACAAACCCTACTGAGTACCTCACCTATAGAATATCGGTAGAGCCACAGCACGTAAAAAAAATTTGCCGGTGCCGTCGTTGGAAGTTGAGCTGTCCGATTCCGCATCTCTACGGCAAGTATCGGACGAAAAGTGCTTTGAAGTACACCAAGGGCGCATGGAAAGCAAGAACCCGCCGTGTACATGACAGGCAAAACAGCACCTGATCTGTCCCTGTGTCGCTCAAGTTTTAGTCCGACCAAACGATTTTTTTTCGTGCGGAGACCGGGGAGGTTCCATCTCGGGCTCGCGCTGTTTGACCAGAGATATGAAGAAGGGGTTATTCATATCGTAATCACCCCGTGAGTTCCCCCTTTTAATGTTCCACAGAAGAAGGAAAAAAAAGATTCAGACTAGTTCTTAAGCCTATTAGAAGTATTCAGGTCATAAGCAAATTCATGTTTTTGACTATAAAAAAAAATCCCTTTACCTATAATGGAAGTCATGATTCACACAAGATAAGATAATAACTGATTACCACAATTCATCAAGTGCACCGCTCAGATCAAAATAAAAATAAACCAAAAACGCACTACTAGGCGTCACCGAAATGCTAATACCGATTATGAAAGGCTACCGTACTTGTACCCCGCTTGCTTATCCGGAAAACACCTTTACATATCAAGCGAGATATTGATCCTGTTTATCATACACATTTAACTCTCTTCCCTCCCCTGACAGAAGGCTACGTTCCGAGTTCGGTAGCGCGACCCCTAAGCTATCCATCCTCCCCCCCCCGTCTATGCCATTAACTTAGGTCCGTCCGACCCATCAAGGACATGATCACAGAAATGATCCGTCTGCATGATAGATCACACAGTTATCAACTTGTTGGCAGACAGTCCAGAGGGAAAGAATACTCTTTTCTTTTATTATTGATTGATTTTCAATTATATGGTTATGGTTAGGGTTATGGAAATCATCAAGCACTCGTCTAATAGCGATGCTTTCACTCAGAAATCGTGACAGTTGGTCAACATCGTGTGCATATTGTGAAATGCAGCCCTTCTCGCAATACTGCTATTTTCCCAACTGCCCCAGCCACAGGCGGCTCCAACTCCCTTCCCATAACTTAATACTTTACCAGGATGTGTAGAGGGGCGCATTCCACCCGTACAAATCAGACTATCATCTTCCCCTTTCCACTTCGAGCTAATGTCGTTCCACCATTCGGAAACGCACTTGCTCTCAGAAATATCACATTACACTGAGAATTGCCGAACAGGGTTTTAACAGTTCAAACAAGAACCTCCATCTCCCGGAGGTTTTCTGAAAAACACTTTTCAAACAAACGACTCGAGGCCGCCGCTCCGTGCCATGATACCCACGAGCCAAGAACGTGGGTGGTGCACCGCCCAAACCGAACCCTCCACGATCTATAGAAGAAAAGTTGCGTATGAAGAGCGGGAAGTAAACGGTATCATGCGACATACCGTCGAGCCGTAAGTGAGTGAGTGTGAATGCAGTCACTCGAGTACGATACGACAATAACCAACCCCCCGGAATCAGCCGCCAACGCCCAGAAACCATAGTACTCGTACAGTACGGTATCATATCCATCCACATCGATTTCCACAAACCCACACAACACACAAACCACAAAAACATCATTACAAACCAAACTACCCGCTAACAAACACGTATACACATATACCGTACTAGCTCTCTCAGCAAGTCTTACATGATCCACAACCCCAAACTCCCACCTCTTCACCGCCAAAATTCTTTCGGAACCGATGGTCAGTCAGTCATCTCACCGCAGGCACCGAGTATATCATACGAACCGCACTTATTATATAATAAATGACACTTCAAAGTTGGGCCATACCAACAGCATCCACTCCGCGACCCGGCCGAATCGTTAAAAACGATATGATAATATACAATGCCTTACCACCAGGAAGAAGAATAAAATAAATAAATATTTTATTCTTCTAAAACCCCGAGCTTCAAATGTTCTGTATCGCTGAGATCATCGGGGGGGGGGGGAAGAGAAATATCGGCATAGGAGCTTACGGTAGAATGGCGGGTAAGTCGGGACCGCCTACCCTCCTGGCCAGCAAAGTGGATTGAATGACAGAGTAATTGCTGGCAAATTTCGGGGGGTGTTTGGCACTATGATTTCAGATATCATACCGGTATTCACGATTTGAAATCGTGATCTGGAAATAGTGTAAAGCCAAACACTATGAATATCTGAAATCATAATTTGAGATAGTGACTAGCCCAAATCACAGTGAGCCAAACACCTCTCTATAGCAATCACATTTCCTATTCCACTCGGTGATTCCCTTACCTCAATGGCTTCCTTTGTTCCGGGCCCCATAAAGGCGGCTCCCGAAGTGGTGGATAGCCGCCGCGGCGGGCCTTCATGCGGTGTAAGGCTTATTCTACACTGCGATGTCCTCACGTACTCAAAAAACTGCTTAGCATGAATTGCGCAAGATCTCCACCACCCTCCCACACGTACCGCACATTCCGGCCTCGAGTCAGCTCCCACGGATGGATGATATGAATGCAACGGAGCGGTTGTGGCACCGTGATATGTCGAAGCAACCGCACTCCACTCCGTCCCCCTTTACATACAGACAATTCTCCCCGTATAAAGCAAACAAGTATCTAAGCAAAACACGCGGACAGAATACAATCCGCGAACAACACCTTCTACGAGTAACACTTTATGACCACCTAATCCGTCGATAATTCGTAACACATATCCCATCAGCATGATCGCAAATGTAAAACAATCCCATAACCCCATGCCAGCCAACCACCCATGAAGAGAAATAAAACCCCGATTTAACGCTTCAAAACAACCCATTAAAAAGTGGGGAGGAAAAAAAATAAATATCCAAAAGCCCAAGATATACATGATAAGAGAAAACAATGAGATTATAGAAAATGCAAAAATTAACCACCATCACATAATCCCGGAGAGTATTTCTTTGCCCAAAACTCTAATCTCCTGCTTTACCGCCTTACGACAAGCGTCTTCAAATTCTTGAGTGACACCCGTGACGACAACACGGCGTACTTTCCCATCCGCCTTAAGGAACGCCTCGCCGACACCGTGGGCGCAGGCGGCAGGAGTACTGACGAGGCTCAATACACGAGAGTACGCATCAATCAGAACATCGCAGAGAGTGGCAAAGGTCTCGTAGTAATCGGGTTCGAAAGGGAGAGGAGGAGTAGAGAGGTAGAGGTATTCCGACTCGGGTGCCAAACTAGGAATGGGTGGAGGCATGAGTGGAGGAGGAGGAGGAGGAGGAGGAGGAGTATTTGTTGTACTTGGCATGAGCGGGGAAAGTGTATCAAGCTCCATGGAAGCTGAAGGTGTAGTGGAAAGATTGTTTGATGAGCCTGAGGCGGGCATGGCACCCAAGCTCATGTTTGAAAGGTTACTGCCGCTATTGGGCAGACTTGGCATGCTAGGAACGCTGGGTACTGCGGGCGCCGCTGGAAGGGCAGTGGATGATCCGGAGGCGGAACGGGAACGTTCTGCAGCAGCATCCGAGTTTGAAGTAGACGGTGGAGTGATTGTAGACATCGTTGGAATAGACGTCGCCGCAGAAGATCCACGGCGAGGCTTTGTTGAGGAGCGAGAGAAAAGCTTGGGTAGGCGAACAGATGGGAAAGTCGAGGTTGTGTGATGGGAGTGGTGGCTAGAGGATATTGATGAGCTATGGGAACGGGCTGTTGGCTGTCGGGAGGGCGGAAGGGCTATGTGAGCCTCGTATTCCTGGAGAAGATGGTTGAATGCTTTGAGGTAATCCAGAGGGGAAGACGTTCCCAAGTCCAGAATCGAAGGGAGCGAATTGCCGAGAATGAAATAATTGTTTGCTCTAAGAAGTCGTTAGCCGGTGGAAATAATAGGCGTAGTCACGGAATTGAAATAAAACCTTCGAGCCAACTTCTTGCCATCGTGATACACCATTCTCTGTAAATCCGCCTTTGTGAACAAGACGGTATTGAACCAATAGACCCTCCCTTCGTGTCTAACAAACAATGAGCTTAGCAATTGACCGAGAATTTTACATCTTAAAAACTCACGCTCTCCTCAGGTAATCCAACGTTGCAATCCGTTTCGTCGCGACCTCGTGAACAGTTTCATAGAGAGCATTGGGGCTCTGTGGGCCACTCCCTACACCCCCTCCAACAGCACCAATAGCCATACCGCCACCCAATCCACCAGATCCGGTCGTGACAAACTCCGGGGCTCTGGAGGAGCCAGATCGGCCAAACATTCCCTTGGCAGTCGATGACGCAATTCCCCCAGGATTCTGATGTTGTATAGGCCTAGGAGGACCGTACCTACTCTGTGAACTAGCAGCTTCAGCCTCGGAAGGTCTCCGCTTCCTGATACTAGTAGATGTTGAACGGGACAAAGAAAAGTAACCACCAAGGGACGAGGTGGTTGTTGCAGCGTTTTCGTCTGGAGTTGACACGGATGTTGTGTGGGAAAGGAGGCCCTTAGTGATATAAGCGGACGTGGAAGAGAGGGACGGCTTACGCTCGTGGTGCATCCTATGTAACAATAATGGGGCAAGACGTATTAAGTTAGGGTATGATATGTGCAGTGGTGGGTAATGGGTTTGTGTCGTGTGTGTGTGCAAGACAACGTGCACAGCTGTTGCTGATCTGCAGGCGTTCCTTTCCTTTTTCTTTCCCCTTCCCCCTTGCAGGTGCGTTTTGCACCCAAATCGACCTTACTTTGTGTGAATGGGGAACAAGATGGCAATAAGGAGATCCGGTAGAGTAATTGTGGGCAGTGAAACCACAGGGACCAATGCCAGGGGGAAGAGAAAGCACGGAGGGGTGCAGAATTTGTGGGCACGAGTACAGTACCGGTAGAGTGCCGAGGGAAAAGCGGTGATATACAGCAACAACCACAAAACCGGTGGAATACAAGGGGAGGAAAAGAAAAGAAAAAAGGGATAACAGGTGAAAGCAACTGCAGGACGGCGGAGAAGATGGAAAAGAAAGGGAAAGGGGGAGAGATGAATTAACGCCTGAACCCTCAGGGTTAGGGGATTTGAATCAGGCTGTTGAAGGTTTTAAAGAAATCTCCGGACGAACCAAGAGGCGCCTCTTTATTTGCTTTTCCCTTCCTGAAGCGGTTCTGGCCTACCAAGCAAATTCGCAAATTCACAAATTCACCTTCTCTCCATCCCCTCCCCCTTCCTTCCCTCACCTCGATCCACAGGCCTCCCAGAGAAGCTCCCCTTTCTTCCCGCCGGCAAGAGTGAGGGAAACCTGATGAGTTGAAGCTGCCGCTCTTCCCCTCACTCGACCCGTTTTCCCCTGAAACCCGGAGCCTTCCCCTTTGAAAACCCTTCCCCTCTCACTCGTCTTTAAGCCCCTCCTAGTGTCTTGGGGGCTGCTGACCAAGACCCTAGCAATTATGATCTACCCCTGTTTACTGGATTCAGGGTCCATCGAGCTAAGCCCATTATGGACTAGGACATATTTTTCGCTTGTTGAACTTTAAATGCTGGAAACAGTGCCCAGCACCCCAACAATCTCTTCCTCCCACCTGCCAGTTCTCTCCCCAGGAATTGCCACCCTACCACGCCCTACACCACTTCTTCGCCGATTTCCCGGCCCAATTCCCTCGAAAATGGCGGACGCGCTGCCAGAGCATCCTCCCAAGGTTCCAATTCCTATGAGCGACGATAGGATATGGATAGATGGCTGTTTTGACTTTACACACCATGGTGATTCCTCCCGTCCGTCCCAACCCCGTTATCTAACCCTTTTTTAGGCCACGCCGGTGCAATGCTACAAGCGAAACAGCTCGGTAAGTACCTTGTAGTCGGTGTCCACAGCGATGAAGAAATTCTTGAGAATAAAGGCCCTACTGTAATGAATATCAAAGAACGGTTAGAAATTTCAGCTACAGATATTATCTACTGTACTGTCGGACCGTACTGACAAACTTCAGAATGGCTGCCGTAACTGCATGCAAATGGACCGACCTCCCGGTCCCCGGCGCTCCATATGTCACATCACCAGAGTGGATGGATCTCTATGGTACCCGCTATGTGGTCCACGGTGACGATGTCACAACGGACAGCTCAGGAGAGGATTGCTACCGGATCGTCAAAGCTGCCGGTCGTTTCAAAGTTGTCAAGAGAACGCCGGGCATTTCTACAACCGACCTTGTCGGACGAATGTTGCTGTGCACAAAGACGCATCACATCCGAGATCTCGGAAAGCTGCTTTTAAACCAGACAAGCGAGGAGGGCAGAGAGTTTTTGGAGAGGACAAAAATGTATGCCTCCAATTCCTTTGGCGTTGTCGGCGAGGGTTCCACAGTGTACGACTTTGTTACGGAGCAGCCAGGAGGGAAGTGTGTTCCAGTTGTGTCTGGCATCGGTGCGAAGCCCGGACAGAGAATTGTGTACGTTGATGGTGGTTTCGACCTTTTCTCCAGCGGACATATCGAGTTCCTGAGGAGAGTCGTGGAAAAGGAAAGGGAGGAGGGACACAAAGATATTTATGTTGTAGCGGGAGTACACGATGACCGAACAATCAATTATTGGAAAGGATTGAATTACCCTATTATGAATATGTTCGAGCGAGGACTTTGTGTGCTACAGTGTAGAGTTTGTATCACCCCCATCCATTGCAGGTTTAGAAGCGCTGACCCGAGAATAGTACATCAACTCAGTTATTCTCACGGCACCCTTCTCGCCAACCAAAGAGTTTTTGGAAACGTTGCCTACGGGAGTGCCATCGGTGGTGTACCACGGACCCACCACTTTCATGCCCGGAGACGAAGATCCGTATGTTAACCCCCCGCAGTTCTTGGCCTACATCTAATCACGAAATAGATACGAGGAAGCAAAGGAGATGGGTATATTTCAAGAAATCGGAAATCATGAATTTGCCGGTGTTAACGCCGGGGAGATTATGGGAAGAATATTAAAGCAGCGTGAGCTGTACGAGGAGCGCCAGAGGAGGAAAGGTGTCAAGATAGAGAGCGAGATGCAAATGGTCAACTAGCTGCACTCATGTACCACGTCCGGGAGTCTGTTTTCCCACGGCACCAGTAAGCAGACTAGAAATATTGATACCTGTCATTTATAAGACTATTCTGTTGTACCAAAAAAAATTTAAATTACCTAGGGCATGGCGCAAGAGTGAAAAGGTTGCAAGCCCCTCGTCTAGGAATGACTTGGGTGCGAAATACCGGTACAGTATCGAAGTTGTCGCAACTAAATCACTATAAACCTCAAAATAGTCCAGCTGACTGCCCTCTGCCAATCGGAAGAAGATGAAAAAAATGGATGGGAGGCTACTATGCCCACAGTGCACAGTGCACATTTTTCCCCTCTAAGGTTTCCGGCACTAAGTTACCGCGCGACACAAGCACCGGTACCAGTGGCAGTTATTGCAAGCTCAAGTTAATGGCTAACTTACCGTAGCCCAGCATGCACAGAACAAATCCCACCTGGGTCCCTACCACGCCAAGAACACATTCGAAAGGAAAGAAAGAAAAAAAAACCAACCTTGGCATGATATCACACACAAGCAACAGGGACAACAACAACCACCCCCCCACCAGTACCAGACCCCCCCCCCCCGAAAGGGAAAAAAAAAAAAAACTGTCCACCCATCCAAGGCCCCCGACAACCCCATTCCTAGCCTCGGACCACCAAGATTCCAAAAAGCACCTCCTCCTCGCGACGACGGGCTCGGTAGCGACCATCAAACTCCCGCAGCTGCTTAAGGCCCTCTCGCAGACCTTCTCCCCGGAGTCCCTGACGATCCACCTCCTCCTGACGCGCTCCAGCGAGAACTTCCTCACGCCCGCGGACCTGGACGAAGCGAGCGCGAACCCGCTGGTCTCGCGCGTGTGGCGCGACGCGGACGAGTGGGCCTTCCCGTCCGGGGGCGTGTACACGCGCGAGTGTCCGGTCCTGCACATCGAGTTGCGCAAGTGGGCTCACGTGCTCGTCGTCGCCCCGCTCAGTGCCAACACGCTCAGTTCCGTCATTGTCGGGAGGTGCGATGGGTTGCTGCTGAGTGTCTTGCGCGCTTGGGATTGGGGTCGGGGTGGGGTTGTTGTCGCGCCGGCTATGAATACGCTCATGTGGACGCATCCCGTTACGCGGGGCCAGGTGGATACGTTGAGGGAGTGGGGGGTGGAGGTTTTGATGCCGGTGAGTAAGGTGTTGGCATGTGGGGATGAGGGGGTTGGAGGGATGGTTGGGGTTGAGGTGATTGTCGAGGCGGCTGGGAGGAGGTTGGGCATTTCGTCCGTGGAGGAGGAGGAGGAGGAGGAGGAGGAGGAAGAGAAGGTGGTTGAGGTGGTTGGACGAGTTGAAGGATAGGTGGTGTCTTTTGGGTGGCTCTTCATGTGGATTAATTGGGATCTGTGGCGTTTGTTCTTACTCCAAGGGCGGCCGGGCGACCGGACTCTGGTATTAGATATCTTTTTGTTGTACTGTACTAGGGCGAGTTTTGGCGCCTTTAATCATGGCAAGGTGTTGGGCTTCTGTTTTTTATTAAATATCTGCTTAAGCAACAGTGTACCCATCCTTGTTTTCAACCTCTTGCAACGCCCTCTGCCGACGTCCTCCGAAGCCCCACAATCCCTCCTCTCCATATAGCCCACTTACAACCGCCATATACTCCCCAAAGAGCCCTCCCCCAACGGCGAAAAAACCCACAGCCCAAGCACACCACTTGAAGTAATACCAACACTCCCTAACATCCTTAAGGTTCACTTTCCGGATCATATATGCCAAGGTCCCCGCCGCCCCTCCACAAGAAACCAAATAAAACACCGGCCCGCACCCGCCTATTGCTCCCGCGCCCGCCAGTAAACCAACCTGCGCAACCCCGAGCGCAGACATAAGATACTTCGTATACGCCTCATGCTTGACAACAATCGACTTGACCCCCGCCTTAACATCATCCCTGACATCTTGATGCGCATAGATAATATCATACAGCATCGTCCACGCAACATTACTGCCATATAAACACGCAGCGGTGGCCATAACGGGCCCACCCAACCCCAGTCCCAGGGCCGGGAAACCCAGAAAGGCGCCCCAAGAAAACGCCAACCCAAGCACAAAATGCGGGTAATGCGTGACCCGCTTCATGAGCGGGTACACCGCCACTACGGGCAGCGACAGGATCCCCCAGACCACTGTCTGAGTGGGGAATTGCACGAGCACAGCCAATCCCGCGAGTAGCTGCGCGGATGTGAACGCCAGAGCATTGAACGGGGTAATTGCACCGCGGGCGACGGGTCGGAACTTAGTCCTCGAGACGTGCGAGTCTAGGTTGCGGTCCAAGAGGTCATTGATTGTGCAGCCAGCACCACGCATGATCAGCGCGCCGGTAGCGAAGAGGAGAGTCGTGCCGAGGACAGTCGGGAGGGGAGTTACCGGATCCGTAAGGGTCGCGGCGAGGAGTGTTGACCAGAGGCACGGGAGGAAGAGGTAGACTGTTCCTGCTGGTTTATCAAGGCGGATAAGCTCTGCATAGGGGATTGCTTTCCGGGGGAAGTAGGAGAGCAGGCCAGACTTTGGGGTTTCGTAAATTTCAAGTGGGGGCCGCGAGGTCTGTGGGGTGCTGTTCCTGGTGGCAGTGGTGGTGCTGATTCGGGATATGGCAGTCGGAAGAGGTTTGTAAGGGAGTATCGAGGAAGGGCGGGTGATCACCGCTAGATTTCGTGGGGAGAATAGAGATGGTGTTAGGTTGATTCGGCATGCTGCTTGACTCAGGACGGTTGAGCCCAGCCGCGAGAACCTGCCAGCCATTGTACGGTTGCACCGGTACAGGTAGACGAAGAGTGGTAAGGGGGTCTAGAGGATGTCAGTATCATAATGGCCAAGAAACAGGTACGCCAGTAGGCTAGGCCGGGGCACACCCCCCCCTGGAGGAGGGCCAAGTGTATTATGATACTTACTCTCTCGTCTCCCTAGAATGTTTTCCTCTCAAGAGGTGAATATGCTGACAGGTTTGCGCGATGTTTGCCACGTTTGAGGTGGATGTGATGAGACATGCCCAGGCGGAACAAGCCTTGAGGCTTAAAAGCTTGACTCCTGACGGCATCGGGATCAAATGCCTGTATTAGGGCCGAGGGTTCGGATAGAGTCCTAAAGGAAGAAAAAAGGAAACACCCTGTTCCTGGCATCATATCATAACATACGATAGCCGTGTTCCCTGTATTACGAGGCTTATCGTAATGTTGGTCTGGGCTAGCCCTCAAAAGTCGGCAAAAGCCTAACCGCGGCGCCCCTGACAAAGATCATCGTCACCTGCCCTCCTACCCCCCGAGGCTGGCATTTTTTCAGCCATGCAACAATGCCATGTCCGCCTCAATTGATTATACGGCATACCAGTATCATCATAAGGCGTCCAAGACATGTACGATTTTGGTGACAAAAGGGATTGACAGCTACGAGTGCCGGGTTTCCAATATAAAATGCCGATTTTCAACAGGTGCCTGCGCACCACCATTGCCTCAGAAAAATCTAGCGATCCTCTGGGCACTGCTATTTGACATCAAGATCCACACAATCAAACGCCACGCTACAGAAACTGCTGTAAGAGGTTCAAGCTCAAGGGCTCCAAATGTCTACTGCCAAAATGGTGCCAAGACAGGCAATTTGTATGGGATTTCCACATTGCAACCACACCAGCTGACTCCATTTCCCCACTACCAGTGTCAGACAGGAAAAATAGTCAATTTTACATGTTGAATTCCTTGTGATCCCCTTCACTCCGATTACTGTTTGGAGAAGAAAACCTGTTGTGCGGCTTTGTAGCGGTTGGTTAAGTTTGTGTATTTTGTGTGGGGATCCGGGGGGTTTCCATTTCTTTTATCGCCAGGCTCGTAGGGCATTGTCGGTTGGCCTGTGGAGATCGGAAGCTTCGAAACGAGTAGACTATCATACGGTACCCGTCCCCATGAGCGCTCATAGAGCCTTTCTCGTGCAACAGTGGCTCTGGCTGGGGCCGGTTTTCGCTGGCTTTGGTGTGATTTCATGGGCACAGTGCGAGTACCGATACCTTGCCGGACCGAGGATGACTTGTAAGTATGCGCGAGAGCTACGAGTAGAGCGATAGATGGACGTCTACTAGGGCGAGTGTGAGGTTATTCTTGACAACGGATTTGCGCCTCTAGAGGCTCAAGACCTATCCCGGAGTATCATATCAGTACGTTGTGTGGATACTGTAATAGACAAGGCTGCCCCAATTTATTTTTGCCCAGCCCTACCCCCCCCCCTCGCAAGGACTCCCGGTATTTGGAGGGGAAATTTTCCCCAAGTACAGTACCGGTACCGTATCCCACTTCCCAGTTTGCAGGGAGACCACTGCGAATGAAAGTCCCACCAATGATTCCCCCACACATTATAGTGGACCACGGTATTGCATCATACCGAATGCTGTCATAAGTAATGTCTTGGGCACCCCCAATGATGCACCTATTCTAGGCTGCCAACGCCGATGACCCTGTAACGAGCCTGATTTCTCCGCCCAGGCGAGACGGTTCCTTGCACGGGTAACAGATATTCTGCCGTGTCTGAGCGGTGAGGTCGCCTCACGGTACGGTATGAGTACTGTTGTACAGTACTCGTGCAGTAGAGGTACAAGTTCTGCTGCGAGTGCGACACAGTGAGAGGCTTGGACATACCGCTTCTTGCCGGCGTACCCTTCTCGTCACGCGCAGCTCTGAGGCGAACCGATAACCAACACGCAACATCCGCGCTAGAGTACCGCGGTACTGGTATGATATCACCGGATTCCGATAACCCATCTACGGTACTCGAGTACGGTAGTTAGGTCCTTCCCCCCCTCCTTCCGACCCAATCCCTGCATCCGGTAATGACGGGGTGGCATCTCTGAACCGAGCAGGATGAGAAGGAGAGAAGACAGAAAAAGTGGACAAATCTCGAATTGAGAGATGTTCTTGGCTTGGTCGAGCACACAGGAGCCTGGACCATCTAAGCTATCCACGAGCACGAAAGGAGCAAAATCGCTGCTAGCTCTCTCGGCGTCTCGAGGAGCCTGCTGGTACGCTAGTGTTACCGTGCTGGAGTGCCGGCACAGCGCGGACAAAATGCATCTGAATTTGGGGATCCGGGAAGAGTCTTTACGGGTCTGCCCAACCCAATCCTGCACAAAAGCGCCATACAGCACTCGTACCTAAGTACAGTAACTTCTTACACTGCTGAACCCCTCCCGTGCTGTTTTCTAAGGCAACCACTGTTCCATGGCCAATGCTCCGTCTTGTGTAACACGGTGTCAATCCTTCGCTAATACCGCTAGCTCATAGATAATCACTTCGGTAGGCCACATCGAACCTAACAATTTACTAGATATGGTATCAACCGTTATGTACGAGTGCGGCCGATAAATATATTCGTCACGTGCCTTATCTAAGGACACATCGCAGCCAAAAGGTTCACCGAAACTTTCTTATCAGACTCACGTGACGAATATATCTATCGGCCGCACTCGTATGCTGGCTAAGGAAATATAAACATAGGCTAGTGTTTGCCTTGCGCTCCTACGTCAGAGCCGCAATTGCGGGGTATTGTCTGCCCGGTGGCCTGTGCTCATCCCATTTTCTCAGCCTTCCCCACATCCGCTCGGCCATGTCCCAAACGAGTAAGTTATCTCCATAAAAACACCCAGCTATCGAAACGGAGATACTCCCGTCTGGGTCCTTGGATTTTGAAGCTGCTGTCTCCTCGGGCTCCGCTTTTCCTGGAGCTGCTGGGGTCTGTCGGTGCAGTGCGATTCGAGGCACCCTCACTCGTAAAATCCGGTGGGTGAGACTTGTGGGTGGGGCTGGCAAGATTAGCAAGAGATGAAGCATTCGAAAAGAATGGCCGATTAAATTGGATCGTAGGTGTATTGGAGTCGCCCCTGACAGATCACTCTTTCAGATAAAACTCGGAAGACTGCCGGTACGAGGTAATAGAACTCTAGCAACAATGAATACCGGAAGCAACGGCGTGTGAACCGTTTAAGAGATGTAATCCAGTCAATCTTTTTTTTTTCCCTCGATATCCGGATCGTCGATTGAGCGGAAAGTTCAGTCATCCGCAATCGCGCGCTGGGCAAGGCCCCCGGATCACCCGATCACAACCCGGCGCGACAGGTAGGTAGGTACCGTACCATTACTGCAAATTGCGGGTCTGGTTGTTTCCAGGTATCATGGTTTCAGTCACCCGGCACCCCATCTCCCTGGGCAGATCGCTGACCGTTCCCAGAATCGACTGAAACCCATTTTGCTTTGTCTACCGGTATTGGTGTATCTTAGCAATTGCTCGATCGGTTGCCTAGAGGCATCCTTCGTGATGAGGTACTGCGTAGGAATCCCACGGGAAGGCCTGGGCTCCGATGCCAGTGCTCCGATGCCAGTAAACTTGGAGATGCTGGAGCCTTTGTTGTACCGCACGTGAAAAAGTTGGAAACGGCGCACAGCATCAGGCTTTTCCCCTCCATGCATGAAGCTGGAAACGCGGGCTCAGTATCAAGACCTGCCGCTTGCTCAGTCTTTCGGCAGCACCTGAAAAAAATTCTAAGGTATCGCATGTTTATTCGGCTGGGAAACGAGAAGAGCCGGAGCTCAAAAAAAAAAAAATCGACCAAACATGGACCCTCAATCAGGTTCTCTTGCTTCAGAAGACGGCACGATATTAAATGCGTGTGCAGGTCTTTCCACCTCCAATCCGCTTCCTTAAGGATAATCGGGGTAATACCTGAACCCGACGGCGCCCGATATCCCACTCCTCTCGTTTCCTATTTGTTTAACTATGTGGAAAAATACGGTCAACGGTTCGAGCACTGTTCGCGCCCCGAAGACGCACGTCGACACGGAAGTGCTGAGGGGGTGGAACTGAGAGTGCCGGGCGATTGGTCAATTAGCACAAAATGCACTTCCCTATACGATCATATTTTTTTTTTCGGTCGGTGAATTCTCAGGTTGAGCCGGGAACATGGGTTTCCACCAGTAAGGCGTGCACGCCCTGCTCCAGTAGAGCTTTTATTAGCCAGTGGTTGAGGTTCTTCCGATAAAAAGTAGGGCTCACAGGCATGCGGCAGTGGTGACAACGACCTTGATCCTCGTAGGCAACTTCTCGAGGAGAAAAAGAAATATCCCCCCTTCGAGCGGCATTTGGAGCACTAAAACCCCACGCGCCAGCGAATCCGAGCGACACCGGACAGCGATCACCCTGGAGGGAAATATATGATCTTCGGCTAACGTACCGATGCATTTTTCCATGCAAGTTGAAGTCGCCTCGTACCTCCACGTTCTGCAGCGCTAGTTTCAGCTTTTCGTGTGTTTTACAACCCCTTGACATCCTCACCGGAACCCTATCACCAGTCGGGGTATGATATCGCATGGCGAGTACCATGTTTGGCCAGTGGATCTACACCGAGCAGCGGCTGGACGAATAGGGTAAGCGATTTCAAAAGGAACTCGGAAGCAGTCGCATGCACCGATAACAGAATGGACATACAGTAGCGGTGATCATATTCCTCTGATACCTTGTTTGTCATAGACCAATCTACGTGAGCTTGCCCGGATCAAATATTCAATATAAAATAGCAGGGGAGCCACTGGGGTTCCCAATCCTTTCACACAAGCACCAGCCATCCACCGTTACCCCCCCCAAAACACATACCATTCCCTATCCTACAATCTTCCATTCGAGATCCAAAAATGAACTCCCCTCCGTACCTTAGTAGTGAGCTCATCCGTCATGGCGGCCTGGGAGTCGGAAGGGCTGGTGTAGGCGCATACGCAAGAGACCGGGATTTCCCCCGAGCAACCAGATACACCAGCGGACTCGGTTATAATCAGAGAGTCCTTGACATCCCCTATGAGGATTTGACCCTCGCGGAGAGAAGAGAGCTGGAGGAAATTCGATTGCAAACCCAATACGCCCGACCCGGAGTTATGACCACCGCCGGACCCGGGATCCTGCGGGGTAGGACATACCCTACGTCTGGACGCCTCGGTATGGGCATGCGCCCATCATCGGTATACTCTCCCGGCGTCCGAACGGTGGGCCCTGCAATGTCAACATTGTCGGGCCCTATCATCCACCATGAACCTCTAATATATGGCGATCGCTCGGCTGATTACCTATACGGGGGCTATCATGGCGACCACCGGAGAATGCACCCGCAGGAAGTTATTCTGTCTACCGGCGGCGGCGGTCGAACTCGCAGCTATCCTACCACCTACAGTAGTCGGCGGAGTTTTGACACTCTCGGTGGATACGAGAACAGATATGGTCATGGTCAACGGATACTAGAGGTCGGCGGGGGCCTTCCTCGTAAGCGGTATTATTGATCGCCTTTTTGTGGGATGCTTCCCTTTTTTTCCCTTTCTTCTTTCGTTGCTTGAGGGCCAATAACGGAACCTTTGCCGGGTTTCTTCTATCTTTTGTGTTTGATATTTGTGGTTATAGGGTGGATATGGTATGGGTGTTTGGGATTTTTTTATATTCTTTCTTTTCTTCTCCTTTCTCTCTTTCCTCTATTTCGTATAGCGAGCGGTGTGACGCAAAATTTACTATTGAAAATATTTTAGAAGATGGTGTGCTTGGGATTGCTGGCTGACTGGTCTATATGATATTCTTTCCGAGTGCTTTATCTATGGATGTTCCAACTATTGTGAATGCAACAAGCACTGAGCGAGAAAAGCGGTTGCTTCCTCCTGTCCTGGAAGGTGTCGTATTATGCTCGAGTGAAATGCAGTTACCGGTACCGGGTGTCTGGACGGCAATAATCCATCATGACAATATTATCATCATATCATGCGAGTAAACAGTCCCCCCCCCCCCCCCACCCCCGCCATGGTATTTGTAACAGTACTGTACGAGTACGGTACAGTACAGTACAGTCGGTGTATCGTCCCACGAATAATATTTACCCCTCACTCGCGACCAATTGTAGTCCCTCACGAGTGTAACGTGTCAAGGGAACCACAGAAATCGAGATAGTATTATGCAATTGCTACACGAACCACGCCAAGGCTGACAGCATTGTAGCCGGGCTAGTGATGTCACACGCTATTTGCACCCTATCGTACGGCGCGTTACAAAGGAGTGCGTGCCCAACTGCTCCAGCTGTACGAGTACGTACAAGTACTCCTATACGGTAGTTACTGTGCCTGTAAGACTGGGGTGGGTGGGCGAGGAACACGCTGGGAGGTCTAGAACCCCTTTCTCCCTTTGGATCGGGTTGGGAGAGCATTACTAGTACTACGGTGGGGGGAGGAGGGGAGGGAGGGCAATACCAGCGTCCCGGAAAGGTTCTCTCTTGTTCCTGTTTTTACGCCACTGTAGGGGCATTTATTGGGATAAAAGCCTGACGTTCCAGGATAGCGATCTCGTGCTTGAATAGTCAACCAATTTATCCCAGAGGGCCACAGTTTACCATCTCTGCGATCCGAGCCATTCATTGATGCCGTCCCCCCACACGCCCCCCTCCCTCCAATATAAATCATGGTGGTGTCTCCATGAGACCGCAGTAGCGTTCTGGACGGAAGATAGGTAATGTCCTCGTGTCGAAAGAGGCTCAAAATTAAGGTTTCGGATCTCCCCGGCTTGGCAGGGAGGGGGGGTGCAGTAAGGGTGGTCTGATGATATGGTGAAGGGTACCTTGGAAGGGAATGGAGGAGTCAAGCTCCGTGTAGAATTGTAATTTCACATTGTAACGGTACTTTACGGTATTCGGTATTTATGATACCGGTAGGATATCCTTGAGGAATCGGAGAGGGGGCCCGTGGAAAGGGTCAAGGCCTAAGCACCCAATGTCCGGGTTTGCTCTTGAGACACTGTTGGACATTGTGGGGAGCCTGCACTGACGTAGGGATGGATACCGGTAGCCTCCAGCGCGTTTACCCGGGGGGGAAGCGGTCCGTCCCAGAGGTCAGAGGTACGCTTATGGGGCAATCAATGAAAATCGGGGACACATGCAATTAACTTTCACACCTTCCTTATTCCAGGGTCCCCATCCGCATTGAATATAAAGGATACTGTAATGATACAGGACGCAAACTTCGGATTGAAAAGGTTGGTGATATTGTTCTCTGTATGAAGAAGAAGAGGGAAGAGGGAAAGGAAGAAAACTGTAGCTTATTGTAAAATCTACTAATATTATATCTGGGCACACATGATTAGTTCTTGACGGTTAAAAACTATTGCACGATAGCTTGAGCCAGGCTTTCATGATTCTCATGCCTTTCCCTCCTTGGCGGGGGGATCTGTGTGCCAGTTGAATGCCAAGATACCACCAATATTTCCTAATACGGTTAGATTTGATCGTTGACCAAAGCACTGTCGCGTCTTCCAATAACCCTCACCCTTCCCGCTTCACCTTGCCAGTCGCAACGCTCACACTTTGCCTCTGCGACCCATCCACCTCAACCCTTTCTTTCTTCCTCCCTCTCCTTCCCCACGCTCACTCGTCAACACCCTCCTTTCCCTCCTCACCTGTCTACACCTTTCTCTCTCTCTCTCTCTCTCTCTCTCTCTCTCTCC